TATATTACTTATGTATAGGCTGATTATTTTAGTTTTTCATTGAAGGGATTCAGAGACAGTGATCGATTTGCATATCCAAGTAGAAGAAGCACTTTGGATGCCATCACTGTCTTATATCACAATATTGTTTATAATCATCTTGATAAAAAATGCCAAATAAATCAGGTGTGAACCTCGCCTGGTTAACTACTTCACTAGTTACTAGCCGGTCTTAAGCCCAGGTAAACAGGGAAGGTTGGGTATAGGGCTACCAACCCCTACCCCGTAAAACAAATCCAACCGCAAAAGAAACTTCAAAGCATAAATGAAATATAAAAAGTAATAACAAAACTATTCCTCGCTGGAATCGGAGAGATGAAATAACGCCAGTTGGTGAAAGCCTTCGGGAAGACAATTGGCCGGTGTGTCTCCTCTAACCCGATGAAAACGAAAGTAAACGTGGAGACATGGAATATCCGCATGATGTTTGAACCCAGCAAGGCTGACCAGATTACAAACGAGATGAAGAGGTATCACATTGAAGTACTTGGAATTTGCGAAGGCAGGTGGAATGGGAGTGGACTCTCCAAACTGTCAACTGGAGAGTCAATAATCCACTCCGATATTATCACCCAGACAACAACCACGAACACACTGAGTTTTGGAGTGGATATCATGATGTCCCCAAGAGCATCGAAGACCTCATGCAGTGGGAACCAATCTCCTCCTGCAGGATCAGGATGATGACAGCAATATGGATTCAACTCAAAAGGAAGGAAAGTCACAACCATTCATTGCTACACTATGCACCTGGAAATAATGCAGACCAAGGGAGGAAGGAGTAATTCTACAGACAACTTCAATCAACACTGGACAAGACGTCAGTTGGCGATATCAAAATTCTAATGGGCGGCATGAATGCCAAACTGGGAGGGGACAACACAGGAAGAGAACTAACCATGGGTGGAGAAGCGCTCGGTGAGGTGATGAACGAGAATGGAGAACTGTTTGCAGAATTCTGCGCATTCAACGATTTGGTGATTGGAGAGTCAGGCAGTGTATTCGAGCACAAGGATATTCACAAAGCGACATGGATTCGAGTTCGCCAAATAGACACATTAAAAATCAGATCGACATTATCTCAGTCTCAAGAAAGTAGAGACACAGCCTACTCGATACAAGATCAAATCACGAAGAGGAGCAGATGTAGGTCCACACCACTCACTATCTAGTGCAAGGAACCTACCTGCGAAATCAAGTTGAAAGCCTTCAAAGAAGTTGGTGATGGACCACAGTTCAAGTACAACACTCGGAAACTGTAGGACGAAACTACAAAGGACATCTTCACAACAGCCAGCCATCATGACAAAATGGGAGATACCGAGGGGCATCCCTGAAGAAACCTGTGTGGGAGAACACTGGAAGTTTTTGAAAGAGATGTGGAAAGAAACCTGCACAGCCGTATTAGGAAAGAAGAAGAAAGGAGACAAGGAATGGATCTCGATGGATACATGGAAGCTGATAGAGCAGGAAGAGGGGGATGGTGAAGGAGAAGATAAACCAGTGCAAGGATGCACAACGAGAAGAGGAACTGAGTACAATGTATAAAACACTACATTGGACAAAGAAGTGAAGAAGAGTGGGTGGAAAGACAAAAGACACTTCTACGACACATCGGCAAGTGAAGCAGAACAGGCTGCAGGTAGGAGAGATAGAGACCTGACAACATTATATCAAATAACCAGGTTACTGTCTGGGAGAGAAGTGATCAACGCAGATGAAACCAATAAAAGGTGATGACGGAAATTTAATTACGAAAGAAGAGAAACGAAGGAAACAATGGGCTGACCACTTCAAGAAGCTCTTGAATCGACCACCACCACCACCACGACCACCTGCATCTCGTCCAGAAATACCACCAGCAGCCAAGCTACAATCACCAGTGAACACAAGCCCTCTGACAAAAGCAGGAGTGAAGTCCTGAACACCATAAAGCTGCTGAAATTCAGGAAAGCAGCAGGACGAGATGGAATTCTGCCAGAAGCACTAAAACAGACACAGAGATGACAGCGGACATGCTCACATCACTACTACAGAAGGAAGGAATGAAGGAAATGTACCTACCCATTGATTGGAAAAAGGGTTGCCTTGTCAAACTTCCAAAGAAGGGAGACCTTAGTGTTTGCAAGAGCTGGCTCGGAATCACTCTCCTGTCCACCTCAAGCAAAATATTAGGCCGCATCATCATGTAGAGACTAAACGATGCACTGGATTCAAAACTACGACCGGAACGGGCAGGCTTCCGGAAGTACAAACCATGTGCTGACCATATTGCAACGCTTTGCATCATCATAGAACAGAGTATAGAATGGCAGTTAACTCAACTCTACCTCAACTTTATCGACTTTGAGAAGGCCTTCGATAGCGTTGACCGAGAGGTAATTTGAAAGCTGCTTCAATACTACGGAATACCACAAACCTTCATCAGCCTCATTCGACAACTATATGAAGATGTCACATGCCAAGTAATTCACAATGGGAAGCTCAGTGATTCTTTTGAAGTAAAGACAGTAGTGAAAGCAGGCTGTCTACTATCCCCCATGATATTCTTGATTGTGGTCGACTGGACCATGCAGCAAACAGTGTGGAGTGAGAAGAGGGGGGTGCGCTGGACTGCGGAAAAGAAGCTAGAAGACTTGGATTTCGCCGACGACTTGTGTGTGATGTCACACAAACTTGAAGATCTACAGGCGAAAACTAACAGGTTGGCAGAAGAGGCAGGGCAGTGAAGATAGGACTTCAAGTGAATATAGATAAGACAAGTGATGACGATACCGCACCAACAACTCTAACAACAACAACAAACCCCAATCACCATCGATGGGAGAAACTTAAGGGAAGTAACCTCCTTCACCTATCTAGGCAACACTGTTTCAACTACAGGTGGCGGCACAGACGAGGATGTCAAAGTCAGAATCGTAAAAGCAAGATAGGTGTTCATTAGCCTGAAACCGGCGTGGAGATCTGCTGCACTCAGCATGTGGAACAAGATTCTGATTTTCAACACCAACGTCAAGTCAGTGCTTCTGTATGGTTCAGAGACTTGGTGCGTTACGAAAGGGATTTCTAACAAACTACGGACATTCATCAACAACTGCCTACTCTGGCTCGTTACTGAAGATCAGATGGATGGCCAGAAAGAATAAGCAAGAAGGAACTCTGGCCTGGTAACAAACCAACGAGGCCAGAACCTATCTCTGAACAAATATGCAGTTGAAGGGAGTGGAGATGGATTGGGCGTACACTGAGAATGCCGGCTGGGGACATCACGCACTGGATCAGGCCCTCGAGTGGAACCCAGATGGGAAGCGACGCGTTGGACGTCCGAGGGTGACATGGAGGAGATCGTGCGAGAAAGAAATGGGAGGTTGTGGGCTGTCGTGGAGGCAGGTTCAAAAGATTTCAGAGAACATAGCGCATTGGAGACATGCTACTGAAGCCCTATGTTCCACTAGGAACCCAGGGGACTAATAATAATAATGTCAGGTGTGACTTTTTTAGACCATACTTAAGCATTTAATTTTGTCCCAAAGCATATTTTGCTGGACAAGCTAACTGGGATAAATACTGAGTCCTGGATAATTAGCTGGCCGCATTCCTATTTCTTTGGAAAGAAAACAATATACTGAGGGAAGCACTTCACCTTATTGCTTACTGTGACTGGTATTCCTCAAGGAGCTGTCCTTCCCGTCTGTCTTTTTTCTATCTTCTTGCATGATATACCGTCTTCAGCTGGCATCAGTTTTATCAAATGTGCTGATAACCTAACAGTTTCCATACCTGTCTCTTCTTCAGCAGATTGTTTCCAACTGAACGATCTACTGTTAGACGATGGTCCTCCTTGAATGATCTTGTGCATAATTCTTCAGAATTTCAGACTATAAACTTTAGTTTCAGATGCGAAGACAACCTATGTGTGTTTTTCTTCGGACCTTTCCTGGTCCTTCCATATTTTAAAGAATTTTCTGCCTAACCTATATTAGGAAGCTGAGAGTATCTGGTATAACTCAGCCTCTTCTCCTGTGTTTTATAAACTCCTGCATCGTGCCTGTTCTCCTCTATATTGTCTTCCTTTATTCTTTCCCGTGTTACTGAAAAACGGCTATGCTTTATTGCGTAGAACTTTGGAAAATGTCATCAGAACTAGTGGTGTACCTCTAAACCTTCTAGTTAAAACAGTTGTGGACAAACATATTAACTCATCTAATGATCTGGGAAGAGTTATTGTATCAGATGACTAGCAGCACCCTGTTTACTCAAAGCTCTCTGACTGTCGGTCATCTGGAAAGACAAGGAGCGAGTACATCAGACTTTATGCATGTACTACAAATATAAAAACTCTACAATACCGTATTTAGCTCGCCTGCTGTGCAGTGAAGAAAGTATTAGAAATGAACTAACTTATCAAATTCTGTCTTTGTAAGCAACCTAATTGATAACCACAACATGTTATTATTTATGTATTATGAGTCGAATTGCTACGTTAACTCTGCAATTTCAAGAAAGTTGTGGGTGAAGTATTTTTTATGTGTAATTTCTACTTATTTCATTTTGCTATCTGTACATGTACAGTGTTACTGTCCAATTGATGTTATATGACATACTGGAAATTCTGTAGTATATTCATCTTAATAGCTTTCAGAATAAAGCCGTTATTATCATTTTGACTATTTGAAATAGTCGTGGTTTGAAGGAGAAATGAAAATTTGGACCGAGGCCGAATTAAAACCAGTCAATACCGATTCGATGCTCTACAAACTGAGCTACGAGGCCCACCTGAAACCCGGTGGTTGATGGTTCTAATCCAGTCGCAGTCTAAATTTTCATTTCACCTTCAATCATCACAGCATAAACCAGTTACTATTATTGTTATTATTATTATTATTATTATTATTATATATTATTATTATCCATGCACTGATCACTATAGACGTTCATTTGAATTTCTGTTTAACTTTCAGAGGACAGCAGCTGCTGCTGCTATGGCTGCAGCTATGGCTGCCGCTGCTGCTGCTTCACAAGGTGGTCCACCAGGAGCTTTTGGCCTTCCATTAAATTTTGCATCTGGTGGTATGGGTAGTGGTGGTAGTTTACCTGGGTCATCACCAATGGATGCACATAATTTAATGGCGACAATGGCTAGTTTTGCTGCTGCTCAGTCTGTTGCAGCGGCAGGCATCAATCCAGATATGCAAGATGGACCGAATTCAAACTTATCATTACCTTCAGGTCTTTTTGGTGGTGTTAATCATGATATGCCTGGATTAGCTCCACATCATTTGTTACCGCCTCCATCATCAACATTTTCTAACTCAGGATCTGTCTTAGCACCATCGAAAAGTTCAACACCTGTACCCAGTATTAATTCTTGTCCAAGTCGTCAGCGTGCTAATTCTCGATCTCCAGGATTACTTGATGTACATTCTATTCCACCAGATGAAAAACGTCGTAAAACTGAACGAGTAAGCCTATGTAATATGCATGAGAAGTAGTTAGTTTGATGTGTGTATAATTGACATTACTCTTTTGAGTATTGATTCTGTTTTCAGCATCTGAAATTTTTATACTACTTTCCAAAGTTTTGTTAGTTTCCAACTGTTGTTGTTTCATTTTTGTGTCAATAGATTTTTTTCTGGGAGTTACGCAACATAACTTTATCATCTTTTATTTTGGATATAAACAAGCCCACCTATAAAGTGGTTATCATTCATTGTCTTTACTGTCTTTTGTATTGGCATAAAGTTATGCGTTGTCGGATTTTAGCTTTGGTTTGCTGCTTCATTTACTGTGGTTTGGGCATAAGTAATATCACTAGGTATAAACTATCTTTATACCCCTTTCAGTAATATCACTATTAATACTGGGTGATAATTGAAGGTGAGGTGTAACTTTGGACTGTGCTCGGATTCGAACCAGCAACCACGCGGTCTCCGACCTGATGCTCTATCAACTGAGTGAGCTACGAGGTCTGACTACTGACCAGATTTTTATTTCACTTCAATCACCATCCAATATCGATACTAGTCTGCCAATCCATGGCTATCTTACTCAGATAGTCAAAATGATAATCAATATGATGCTCCCCCTCTCTAATCCAGTTAAATTTTGCTTGCGACCAAACGATAGTAACGTGTCACGAATTCACATGGTAGTCAGGTAAAACCCTTGGTGATTGAAGTGGAATAAAAATCTGTTGAACCTCGTAGCTGAGTTGATAGAACATCGAGCTGGAAACCTACCTGGTGGTCGCTGGTTCGAATCCAGCCGCAGTCCAAATTTTCCTTTCACCTTCAATCATCACCCAGTACCAATACTAGTCTGCCAAACAGTGATTATGTCAGATAGTCAAAGTGATAATACCACTATTCTTTAAACAATAAATATGATTCATGACCTAAATCTATGGTCTATGACTGTTGAACGTGGGAATAGTTACAAGTTATTAATCACAGGTGTCTTCGTAATGTTGTTCGCGTTCAGTGGAATCAATGTGTGAGCAATGGTGAGGTCAGGCGGAAAGTAGTAGGCAAGACAGGCAAGTTATGGAGAAGAGATAATTCAGCGAAGAAAATTTTCTTTTTCGACGATATCATTTTCTAAAGCTGCACAATCGTATTTATATATATCATAAACATATAACAGTCTATTATAAAACAATGGGGTATAATTACATCATTAACCTAACGCTAAAAAACAACCGGAATCAAGAATACAAAGTAGTTGCGTAATAAACTAAGACAGTAGAAATATCGAGGGAGGCAAGGAGTTTGACAAGGTGAAAATTGTCGGTAGATGAGATATGCAAATATTGAGTGTCCACTTGATAGAAGGTGAAGAATTAGACAAAGGTCATAATGAAGGCGATAATAATAAACTAATGAAAGTGTTAAGACCAAGGTAAGATGAGAGATTGAGCATACTTCTTTTGCACTCAGAGATCAAGCTTGAATTGATGAATTGCCAGTGCCTCTGCTGTGCACAACTGTCGAAGGCGTACTCCTTTTGAACTATTCCATCTGACACGATAAATGACATTGAAGGAGGATTCTGGTCTAGCTTTTTGTCCAGAGTTGACCAAATGTTCAAGAGTTGAACTGTCAAATGATTTACATTCTTCCTTCGACAGCCATGCAGGATGGTGCTCCAAGATACGTTTGAAAAGCGTGCGCTTTGTGCAGCCTATATAACTAGATCCACTTTGCATTCTTGATTCCGGTTTTTTTAGCATTAGGTTAATGATGTAATTACACCCCATTGTTTTATAATAGACTGTTATATGTTTGTGATATATATAAATACGATTATACAGCTTTAGAAAATGATATCGTCGAAAAAGAAATTTTTTCCCGCCTAATTATCTCTTCTCTATGACTCAACAGGCAAGTTAATTGATGCGGTTGTGTATCTTTATTGACTGAAGCGGTTTGGGCATGTACTACATGTGCAGATCCACCAATGGAAATTCGAATAGATTGGAGGACAGCTCATGGTGGCCAGATCATTCCGTAAGGCACCTGATTGTTGGTCTGATGCATGTGGAGAGATGTAAACTACGTGGCTGCGGTCCCCGAGGCGATAGGAATCAGTGTGTGTATTAGGACTCTTGTTGGCATGACTGGGAAGCGGTCACAATGGCGCAGATGTATTCACTACTTGACGTTTTCTGAAGCTTGAATATTTGCAATAACCTTTATCTTCAAATTGTTTATTCTCTCACACAGTCCTGCCTACTTTGATGTCACTCCTTATCTATCCACCTGTTCTTTGTATACTACTGTGAAGTATTAGTGTCCGTAAGTATAGCATGTGCTTTGCAACATTAAAGTGCGAAGTATTTTCGCAACATTGGCAGCGCTGCGCTCACCCTGTTGGAAGTAATCGAAAAATTTGTGTATCTGGTTAGTTGTGTGAATGCTGGTGGAGGTTTGAGTGATGAAATTTCCATCCGCATATCGAAAACCAGAATGGGATACGTCAATCTCAACCACACTTCGCGCCATCACGACGTTAGTCTGATCGTGAGAGGTTAGGTTTACAACACTTCGTTGTGTGCAGTTCCGCTCTACACCTGTGAAACCTGGCCTCTCTGAGCTGAGGAAATGCGACGACTCTATGTGTTCGATCGTCGTTGTCTCCGTAAGATTGTTCATATCCAGTGACAACGCTATGTGATTAGTCCTGAGGTACAACAACGTGTGTTTGGGTATTATGGAGATGGTCATTGGATCAGTGAAGTGATCTGAAAACACCGGTTTAGGTGGCTTGGACATGTGTTATGCATGTCATGCCAACGGCTTCCAAGCCGTTCATTGTTTTCTAACTGTGGAAGTGGATGGAAGAAGCGGAGAGAGGTGGTCAGTGTATGGATGTGGCGTGGTGAGATGAAGGATAGTTGTATCGGGTTAGCCTCTGTTAACTCATCACGATTCCCTGGGTGGGGTCTGAGAGATCACGCAACTCAGTGGCGTGAGACGTTATCAGATATGACTGAGGATCTAAAGCAGTGGCGGTCATGCTAGAGCTTCCTATCTTCTGCTAGTGAAAAGTGATTAGTGTTTCGTTTCGACTGTGCCTTACTGGACTGCCCTTCTAATCATTCTGCTTTATTTCTATTCGCTTCCCTTTACTTTATGTCTTCATAATGTTGTTATATTATTTTATGTGACGCATTTCTTGGTGTCCGTGGTGTACGACGTTTGTGTTCTATTAAATGAATAAACTGTGGAGTATGGCAACTCGAGCCGATTTTGTCCGTCTTTCTGTCTATGTTTATGGTTATGCACTTACTTTCCTTTTGACTTAGATGACTGTGTGTATATCGTGTTTATCTGTATTTGTTTTACAGTCCACTTCAGAAGACAAATGCAGTGGGATTGGTAATAATACTTTGGAGGAAAATGGTCTGGTAAGTGTATTATCTGCGTAACAACGCAGGTTTTAGTCTTTTTAGCCTATCGAAATAATTTATCGACTGTACAATATTTCTGTTTGATTATAACTCTCTATTGTATTGAATTGTTTACTTAATTTAAAAGTGGGCACCTCGGACCTCTCTTGGAATCGAACCCAGGGTCTTCATGTTCCGCTGCTAGCATGTTACCATTGAGCCAAATTGAATAATTGTCTCGTTCTCATTGGCGACCTTCTTCAAGATGATATCTCTCGAATTCCAAATGAGAAGTCGTGGCCGGTGGGAGAACTGACTGACCAAGTTGGATGTGAGAGCAGTTACTCAACGACGATATTGAATAAAAGTCGAGCTATATTCGAACTGAGAGGCGTAAGAAAATGTTGACCGCTGGATTCTTGACCAGCGGCTCAATGGTAACGTGGTAGCCTTCTGACTTGACGATCCTAGGCTCTATCCCTAGTGAGGTTGTAGGTCCTCACTGGTGAGAAGTCCCATAGTAGAATGAAACAGCTGTCCAGTTCTCTGAGTTTTTCAATGGTTTGCCAACTGACGTTGGTTCATGATGAAATAATTAAAATCTATATATACCTTCAAATTGTATCCACTGGACAATTTATTGTGGATACTATTTGACCATTTACCTTATGTGTTTTGATATATCCTCATCAGTTGTGCTGCGGACAACAGGGTGATGAAATAACTCTTCATCCTACTTCTTATTATTTGTTATTTATCCTTTGGGTTCCTAGTGGAACATAGACCTTCAGTAGCACGTCTCCATTGCACCCTGTTCTCTCCAGTCTTTTCAACCTGGCTCCACGACTACCCAGAAGCTCTCATTTCTTCCTCACATGATCTCCTCCATGTCACCCTCGCCAAGGACGCTCATCTCGTCGTCTCCCCTTTGGATTCCACTCGACGGCCTGACGCGTGATGTCGCAAAACCGTCTTCTCAGTCTGTGTCTAATCCAATCCATCTCCACCTACTGCAAATTTTTTGGACGATTGGTTCTTGGTTGGTTCGTTACCAGCCAGCCAGAGTTCTTTGTTGCTTATTCTTTCTCGCCATTTCATCTGATCTTCAGTACCGGGATCAGCGTAGGCAGCTGTTGATGAATGTCTGTAGTTTGTTGGAAGTGCTTTTCGTGACGCACCAAGATTCCGAATCATCGCATAGAAGCACTGACTTGACTGAATTGGTGTTGAAAATCCCGATGTTGTTCACGCTTTATGCTGAGTGGAGTGCAGTAGATCTCTACACTGATTTCAGATTAATACAGGAGGACCTGTCTTGCTTTTCCGATCCTGGCTGGCTTTGACATCCTCGTCTGTACCACCACTGCCTGTAGTTGAAACGATGCTGCCTGCCTAGATAGGTGAAAGGGGCTACTTCCTTTAAGTTCATCCCGTGGATGCAGATTGGAGCTTTTTGTTGTTGGTGATGGCGTTGGCTGGGTATCTTCATCACCTCTCTCTTCTCTACATTCATTTGAAGTCCCGTCTTCGCTGTCTCATTATCATTGGTGGAATTCAAGTCTCCTAGGGTATTTTCATCGGTCGAGCAGCGCATGCCCATCTTCTCGCTCCTCACAGTTTGTCGCATGATCCAGTCCAGTCCAGTTGACCAAAATCAGGGAGATCTTCGGTGATAGTAGGCGGCAACCTTGTCTTGCCTTACTCCTATCTTCACTTCAGAGGCGTCACTGAGCTTCCCATTGTGGATCACTCGGCATGTGGTGTCTTCATATTAGCTGTTGAATGGGGTTGATAAAGGTTTGTGGTACTTTGTAATGTTGAAGCAGTTGCCAAATTACTTCTCTGTCGACGCTATCGAAGGCCTTTTCAAAATCGATGAAGTTGAGGTAGAGAGTTGACTGACTATCATTCTACGTTCTGTTCTATGATGATACGTAGCGTTGGAATTTGTTCTTCCTGAGGTCAGCCAGCCTGTTCCGGTTGTAATTTTGAACCTAGAGCATCTTTTAGTTTCTACATGATGGTGCGGCCTAACAATTTGCTTGTCTAGGGTGGACAAGGATGGAGCATGATTCCTCGCCAGTTCTTGCAAAGGCTGTGGTCTCCCTTCTTTGGAAGTTTGACAAGGCAACCCTTTTTCCAATCAATGGGTAGGTACATTTCCTTCATTCCTTCCTTCTGTAGTAGTGATGTGAGCATGTCCGCTGTCATCTCTGTGTCTGTTTTTAGTGCTTCTGGCAGAATTCCATCTCGTCCTGCTGCTTTCCTGAATTTCAGCAGCTTTATGGTGTTCAGGACTTCACTCCTGCTTTTGTCAGAGGGCTTGTGTTCACTGGTGATTGTAGCTTGGCTGCTGGTGGTATTTCTGGACGAGATGCAGGTGGTCGTGGTGGTGGTGGTGGTCGATTCAAGAGCTTCTTGAAGTGGTCAGCCCATTGTTTCCTTCGTTTCTCTTCTTTCGTAATTAAATTTCCGTCATCACCTTTTATTGGTTTCATCTGCGTTGATCACTTCTCTCCCAGACAGTAACCTGGTTATTTGATATAATGTTGTCAGGTCTCTATCTCTCCTACCTGCAGCCTGTTCTGCTTCACTTGCCGATGTGTCGTAGAAGTGTCTTTTGTCTTTCCACCCACTCTTCTTCACTTCTTTGTCCAATGTAGTGTTTTATACATTGTACTCAGTTCCTCTTCTCGTTGTGCATCCTTGCACTGGTTTATCTTCTCCTTCACCATCCCCCTCTTCCTGCTCTATCAGCTTCCATGTATCCATCGAGATCCATTCCTTGTCTCCTTTCTTCTTCTTTCCTAATACGGCTGTGCAGGTTTCTTTCCACATCTCTTTCAAAAACTTCCAGTGTTCTCCCACACAGGTTTCTTCAGGGATGCCCCTCGGTATCTCCCATTTTGTCATGATGGCTGGCTGTTGTGAAGATGTCCTTTGTAGTTTCGTCCTACAGTTTCCGAGTGTTGTACTTGAACTGTGGTCCATCACCAACTTCTTTGAAGGCTTTCAACTTGATTTCGCAGGTAGGTTCCTTGCACTAGATAGTGAGTGGTGTGGACCTACATCTGCTCCTCTTCGTGATTTGATCTTGTATCGAGTAGGCTGTGTCTCTACTTTCTTGAGACTGAGATAATGTCGATCTGATTTTTAATGTGTCTATTTGGCGAACTCGAATCCATGTCGCTTTGTGAATATCCTTGTGCTCGAATACACTGCCTGACTCTCCAATCACCAAATCGTTGAATGCGCAGAATTCTGCAAACAGTTCTCCATTCTCGTTCATCACCTCACCGAGCGCTTCTCCACCCATGGTTAGTTCTCTTCCTGTGTTGTCCCCTCCCAGTTTGGCATTCATGCCGCCCATTAGAATTTTGATATCGCCAACTGACGTCTTGTCCAGTGTTGATTGAAGTTGTCTGTAGAATTACTCCTTCCTCCCTTGGTCTGCATTATTTCCAGGTGCATAGTGTAGCAATGAATGGTTGTGACTTTCCTTCCTTTTGAGTTGAATCCATATTGCTGTCATCATCCTGATCCTGCAGGAGGAGATTGGTTCCCACTGCATGAGGTCTTCGATGCTCTTGGGGACATCATGATATCCACTCCAAAACTCAGTGTGTTCGTGGTTGTTGTCTGGGTGATAATATCGGAGTGGATTATTGACTCTCCAGTTGACAGTTTGGAGAGTCCACTCCCATTCCACCTGCCTTCGCAAATTCCAAGTACTTCAATGTGATACCTCTTCATCTCGTTTGTAATCTGGTCAGTCTTGCTGGGTTCAAACATCATGCGGATATTCCATGTCTCCACGTTTACTTTCGTTTTCATCGGGTTAGAGGAGACACACCGGCCAATTGTCTTCCCGAAGGCTTTCACCAACTGGCGTTATTTCATCTCTCCGATTCCAGCGAGGAATAGTTTTGTTATTACTTTTTATATTTCGTTTATGCTTTGAAGTTTCTTTTGCGGTTGGATTTGTTTTACGGGGTAGGGGTTGGTAGCCGTATGCCCAACCTTCCCTGTTTACCTGGGCTTAGGACCGGCTAGTAACTAGGGAACCAGTTAACCAGACGAGAAATATGTAAGATAGTGAATTTTTATTGCGCATAGGAAATGAATTTTGTTTAACATGGTGTTTTATCTGACTTCAAGAAGTGGAGAATACGTGTTCAGAAAAATTCTTATCTTCACCTTACTATTTGCTATTACAATGAAGCAAATAGGATATTGAGGATAAGAATTTTTCTATACACGTATTCTCCACATGTTGAATTCAGATTAAACACCATGTTGAACGGAATTCGTTTCGCTTCGAAGGGATCACTTAGCTTCCTATTGTAATATGAAGGTTAACAAAATATCGGTTCTACATCCGGTTTCCGAAATATAACTGCTTATAAGTCGACTGAATGTTTCAATAGTAATATTCAGAATTGAAGTTGATTAATGAAATACGTAATCCACAAGAGAGTAATGGATAGAGTATCATCTTGTGATATAATTGGGAAAAATTTGTCTTCAGATTATCTTTCTACTGTGTCTATTCAGTCAAATTGTGAGTTGATCTCAGTAGTATGACTTAAAATCATTCACAGTCGTGGAGATGTATACAGTCTTTGTTATCCTAAATATTTCCGTTTATCTACTTTCTCTCCTCTAGGAACGCCACTTTGTCTATCTTTTTTTTTAATCGACTTCTTCTTTGGATACTATTGTGGAGTATGACAACTTGATTGTAATTCACTCCTATGCTAAACTCTATTTTAGTTGCCTGTTTGTCATCGGGTATGGAGTTATGTTGTGTTATTATTGGACCAATTGATTGGGTTAATTGATAGTATAATGTGAAATATGCATATTGTGAATGTCTATCCTTTCCTAGATCCTATTGGATTTTTTTTATCCAACTTAATTAATCTAGACCATAATGTTTTGTAAACACATGTTTATGCATTATTTGTTGATATTCTTGTAAATCTCCGTTGTTATATTGGACTGGATTGTTCGACCTCTGTTGGCAGATGAGATCCTTTGCGGATACCTCGATATTACTTGAATATTCATCGTCATGTTGCCTAGTGGATAATCCTTTGAGTACGAGGTTCGAGAGTCTCAGTGAGAATAACTTTTCTCGTTGGGTACAGATACATCCAGACACGATGAAACCCACTTCTTGGATTCCACTTGTATCTATAACAATAACGTGTTTAAGTCGTTCAAAATATTATTCAGTCATGTGATAAGTGAAACTGGACTGATTTTCGTTCATAGTTCTCAACAATTTATATCAGAGTTTTTTTTGCCATTAAGCTTTTCAGGTCAGAACTAATTTCTTCTATGACTGGAATATGTACATGAATTGATAGCCAATATGGTTGCCAATTCGCCTCTGCTGAGTACATAAGAGTCCAGAACGTAGATCTCCTGTTTATTGGCACGTATTTGTTATGTTGCGCACAATTGAATATATATATTCTAGTTCTGGTGTTATTTTCTAATTTTTCGCGTTTAAGTTCTTGTTTTCGATAATAAGCTTGTGATAGTGATTATTTCCATTCATATTAAAATCCATAGATTCGTGTGAAAAGCTCAAATTCTTCTGGTCGGCGCACTCCATCAACAAAGCATAATGGTGGAAGTGGTCAAAATTCTGTTGTTTTAAAGAATCACTCTGCTGGCAATGGTTTGTCTGTATCACATGTTGATGCTAATCATACTAATAACAGTTCACAAAAAGACACTTCATTTGAATTAGACCATAAGGAAACCGATGAAAAACCACCATTTTTAACTGCAGCTACTAATATTACAAGTAATGGTGGTGGTACATCGAGTTGTACCGTTTCACCAGATCAACAACCACATACTTCTGGAGGACTATCATCTGACGTGACTGGAGCATTTCATAAACAACATAGTACACCCAATATAAAACCATGCTTATCGCCTGCAGCTATCACAACCAATGTACCAAATTCTTGTAGAATGAGTTCAATCCCCTTGGGAAGTGGTAAGATGATTGTCAAACTAATTTGTATGATTATCATATGCCTTTTCTATATGTTAACTATTTAGTTGATGAATATAGAAGTATAGTTATACTTATCCTAATAAGAAATCAACCACATAGACATCACGTTCAACTTGTTCAAATCCCTAAGTAGTATTGATATTGGACTTCACTACTTATGTATCTAGATAGCAGTTTCAACTGTCGCTACTACTGAAAACAAGCTTTCTAATATAAAGCTAGTGAAACTTATCATTATTGCCATAACCAATCTGTCCACTTCTTGTTTCTTTGTTTTTCTGTTTCTCTATTCACCTCCACCCCTCGCCATATGATACACAAATAGATTTATGGTATTAACGTAAAGCCTAGATATCTCCTGTATGCATATGTGTTAACTCATGCACATATAATAATGCTAACATCTTATGTTAATATTTGACTGTATACATGCACACATCTAAACACATTCTTTGTTGTTACTGCCTGGTAAACCTTCCATTTTATAGTCTCCATCACGTTATACACACAATAACACAAGTAGTTTGTTCTCCTTTTTTCCATTCATTCATTCGTCCTCCTCCCTTGTTAACATGCCATTTGGACTGATATAGATGGCATAGATGGCGTGTATGGAGCATGAATTTGCCTCATTCCTCTTTTCACCCCCTCTCTCTCTCTTTTTCTAACATATACAATCCATCTTTGTTTTTTTGTTTTTCTCTACTTGCCTCCTCCATCATCATTTTCTCTTATTTATTAGACTTGCTCTTCACTCTCCACACTATCACTTCTATCCTGTATTTGTTACTAGTCCCATCCGGCTCAGCATGCCTTTATTCTATCACGTCAGTGATAACAACAACAACACGCGCCTAATTGCGCTTCTGCCTTATTCCTCCCATCCCCATCCCTATACCATAGCTTGGGTCGGTAACTGGAGCAAAGCAGAAAAGGGTGGTGATTGTGATGTTACTTTTCATGACCTGGTTGGGGATGGTAATAATGTGAATGATGTGATGTAGGCGTATGTGGAGGTGGTGGTGGTGGGAGCCGAAGAAATTATAGCCATCATTTGGTCGGCTAGTTTCATTTTATATTACTTGATCAACTGTCCTGATATTCTGAGAATTAGTGTATGGGTGGAGATGTGTTTTTTTTTCACCAATGTTTGTAGGGTGTTCTTCCAATGTTCTGTTGTATTATCCTACTGTTTTTCTTGAAATAAGCACTTATACATCTTTCTTATTATGGATAATACGAATGATGTGAATGCCTACAACCCTGTGTCTAGCAGGTAAACTAGGTGACATTGTTCTGCTAATATTATTTATTTAACTAACCGTGATTCCCCCCCCCCTCCACCTCGTGTATTTCATTGTTTTTCCACACATCAGATTAGGGGCTATATCTTGTAGCTGTAACGTATGTAGACTATCTGTTGTTGTACGTATCTTATTTCTTTATCAAATTTCATGCTGATGTAACTGGGTAGTGTCGCGGTACCATAGTGATTATAAAGACTATTGTATACTGATGTTAATTCCAACTACTTCTGAGAATGCATTTCAGCATCCCCGTACAGTCCACTATCTGAAGGTAAGTGATATCATACCTATCTAACTTCTCAGATCGAAGTGGCATCTGAGATGACATGTAAGTGAACAATTTCCTTATGTAAAGTGGCACGATATTTGTAGAGGAAGGTTTTATAATTCTGAAATAATCACTAATGCAATCAATATATCCGACAATTTGTTGAACAAATGCAGGGGCTGTGGCTCATTGGTTTTGGGAGATGGCTATCATAGGTTTGAACCCCTCTCTGGGGCAGCCATGCAGTATCACTAACCCTCACAGAATAGGTGTGGCTTACTGCATAATGCATGAATGGAGACAGGCATTGTATTCCTCCTTTCAAACTAACAGCTGATTAATTTATGCATCAAATTCAGTTGGTTGAAGTTTCATCCAAGAGAATTTTCTCCTCCATTTCTTGGCACAGATGCTTTAAAATGATCATTTTCATTTGCCTCTAAAGAAGATTAGTCTGTGTGCAATGAGGATATTATTTTTGAGGTAGTATTCATCAACCAGTCGGAAGTGAAGTGGATACTAGCTGAAGACCTTGGTGGATAGTCGGGTTAAATCGCACAATGACAGAAGTAGGATACTATCGACCAACTGTGTGGCTGAATGGTTAGAACGTTCGCCATAAAACCTGAAAGCCTTGAGTGCTCGATCCCCAGCGAGGTCATTGGTGCGTACTGTTGAAAAGTTCCATATTAGGACGAAGTGGCTATCCAGTGCTCTCAGGCTTTCAATGGTTCCCCTGTTGATGTCACTGTGATGAATACTACCTTAGAACTATTCAACATCCAACGTTATAGTTCCACAGGAAGCTTTTGATGTGAAAGATCACTGCACAGTATTATTTGCATATGAAATGAGATATAGCACTGATTATCATATACAATCACGCATAAATATCTGGTAACTGACTAATGGTCGCCAATTGTGTGTTAAAGGAGTGCAGCGAAAATTTCTACATCATAACCTATCCTGTGAATGTTGTTACATGTGACTGACATTCGTTTGCAAGAGGAACGTTTTCGCCTTAAATACGTATTTACGTCCACAGGTTTTGTTGCCTGTCAGAGTAATACCCTTCATCTGTGGATATATTTCAAGATGTGACTCGTGGTTTTTTTGTTGTTGATATATTTAGGGGAATTATCAGTGCCTAGTCCATTGTCGTCAATAGCTACTGCTAGTGGAGTTAATTTACCTGGAGTTGGTGCTGTATCTCTTTCTCCTCCTCATCTTACTTCGGATGCATCAACACCTAATCCTGAAGCTTATTCAACTCCGTCTAGTCAGCAGAATTCTCTCACTCCCGCAGCATCAACAACTACGTCATCATCTGTAAGTGGTAATTATTTTATTTCCTCATAACTATAATTAATGAATAGCTCATACTTAATTTATCTACTGAATCCATAGAAAAAACTACTGACTTCATAGTTTGCTTTCATATGTCCATCCTGATGTCTTGAGCTTTCTGATTTACTCCTACTCCATCGATAGCTTTCCATGCATAAGACACCTCAATGAGAGATTCACAACATTGATTGATATATCTTTCCTAAGCATGCCTCATTACCTAATCTTTTTATCGTTCACTTTATAGTTTTACCAATGGTCAATAATGTTGTGAAGAAACCTATAAAGTGTAGTATGTCACAGCTGTACATTAAAGGAAAGTGAACTGCTACTCAATGTATTCATCCTTTGATTGATTAATATGTCATCTAGTTCTAGGGATGGAACTAGTTGGCAAATGCTAAGCGGGACTTTTGTATATTTTCTTAGATTGCATCAACAAATAGTTCATCATTAGGACTGATACAACGTCACCAATAAATAAAGAGTTCAATCCGTCGAACTACTGCACTCCTTGTCGGTAATGACCAGTTCTGTAGTATTTTTCTTGATAGATGGAAAACATATGTTATTTATTTTAGTTCTTCACATAGGGGGTTCAGTCTATTCTTTATTTCGTCAACGTTTTCACATATTAGAACTATGGGAACACAGATCGTTTTCTGGTCGATTGTGATGCACCCTATCTACACTGCTCTATTCGAATGGGTTTAAAAAGTTGATGTAGATTATTCTATTCTAGCTACTTGTTTCCTAATGCTGATTATTTGTTTTATCACTAACTTCTAAAATTTTATTTATTGGTAAGAGTTTAATAGGTTTTGATACTGAGTGATGATTGAAGGTGAAATGAGAATTTGGACCGCTGCCAGATTTCCAGCCCGATGCTCTACCAACTGAGCTACGAAGTCTCCGACTACTGACCAGGTTTTTATTTCACTTCAGTCACTAAGGATTATTCCCGACTACTATGTGAATTCGTGATACGTCAAACCTCGTAGCCTAAGTTGGTTGGGGCATTGGGCCGAAAACCCGATGGTCGTTGGTTTGAATCCGGCCTCAGTCCAAATTTCCATTTTACCTTCAGTCATCACCCAGTATCAATACTAGTCTGCCAAACTACGACTCTCTCACTCAAATACTCAAAATAATGATTAGTAGACGTTGTCAAATGCAGGCTTAAAAAAGTACGTCGTAAGTGAAGTTAGTGTTTTCGTTTACTCTCGGTGATATTCATTGTTTCGGTAGTATTTTCCTCGACAGTCATCTATGTGCTGTTCAACTGAATAGATCCGTAAGGACTAGGAAGGATCGTGAGAGTAGGCGATATCTATTCAGAATCTCCGCCTATGCACCCACTGACTGTAGTTGGGATGATGCGAAAGATGAATTCTACGAGAAGCTGTCAGTTTTGCTATAGAAAATAAAACGTTGATATGTAGTGATAATGATAGATGACTTTAACGCTCAATTAGGAAGGTTGAGCCAGTCGGAAGGACACCTTGGAAGTATCTACAGAATCCCATACTCACAAGCCGTAAACAGTGATCATCTGTTGGAATTTTGTCATGACAGTCACATGTTTCTGACCAGCATTAACTTCAAGCATAAGGAGAGGCGCTATCTCATATGACGTCCTCCGACACCAAACCAACCATGGACATAGATAGATCATATTACTATAGGCTATCGTCAGAGGACTGCTGTTTTTTTCTTGAGTACCAGTGTGGACTCCGATCACACGCTGGTACATGCTCGTGTATATTTGCGCCTTACTGGTCGCAGGAAACAAGCGATAGTAAAGCCTTCCTATGGTCGATTAGAAGATGAAGTCACCAAATACGTATTTTGGGAGGAGTTAGCTAAGCATTAATCTGAACATGACAGCAGTGCTCACCCTGAGTCAATTCGGCGTGATATTAAGTCAGTTGTATGAACACCAGTAGAAGCAGTTGGCAACCTACATCCAATGGTAAACAAACGTCATTGGATTTCCACAATGTCATCTGAACTGATGGTGCGAGAAATCTCGTTCCAGTTGGCTCTGATCACAATGACAAGCGAAAGCAGCTGAAATGTAAGTTAGCTGAGAGTCTTCGCAGTGATCTCGAGCAGTGGTGGGTGGCGAAAGCGACAGAGATGGTGAAGGTGTCAGCATTAATTAATACCCCAACCCTAACTTATTGGGGATACCGGCAGAAAGGTGACGATTTTGAGTGGAACCATCACCTACAGGGATAGAACCCCGATAACCTCTCAGAAACAGGTGGCTGAAACACAGCGGAATACATTGAAGCGCACAGTTCAACAGGCACACATTTATCAAGGCTACTTTAAACCTGAAAAGATGCAAAGCAGCTGGACCTGACGGTTTACCATCCGAAGCTCTTGTGGATACAAGTGATGATGATGCACTTTGAAACCTTGTTCACATTCGTGCAATAAATAGCCAGACATGCCTGTTGTGTGAAGGCGAATGATACTCATCGACTGCCCAAATCCTTTTAGTTGGAGAGGTGTTCTGAACCATAGGTTGAAAGACAATTCCCTACACCAATGAACCACAGCTCCTCAGACATGGAGGTGGGGAGGTGCTGATTGAAGTGTCGGACTTATAAGGTAGTTTATGGAAATAACAGGCATTCTTATCAGACGAATATATTTCACTGATCTTTCCAGTCTGCAAGGTTGAGAAGTCTTGTGACAATCACAAAGGTTTGGGTTTGCGCAACTTCGTGTCGGGTCCATGAGTATACGATGCTTGACGTGAGCTCGGAAACAACTTAGTTGAGGAAACCAAGCATGTTTCAGACTTAGACGAGGTTGCATCCATCAAATTTTCATCCTTCGATAGGCTTTGGATTATACGCATACTCAGCCTCAGCCACAATTCTTGACCTGAAGGTGGCATTCGACTCTATCAACCATGAGGTGCTGGAGCAGTGTCTGGCAGTGAAGCGAATACTGAGCAAGTATATAACGCTAATCAAAGCTCTCTACTCGACCTCACGCAAGCCTGCCAGGGCTTACGGAGAGTTATCATGTGAAATGATTACAAGTAGTGGCGTCCGGCAGGGATACTATTCGTGTTCAATTTCTTTATAGACGTACTAATGGGCATAATCTTAGGTATCTTTTGCTTCATGGGGGTTGACCTACTCCCTGGAGGTCATCTGGTTGTCTTGGAGTATGTAGATGATGTTGCCCTATAGGTAAAGACGCTGAAAATATCCAGGGTCTTCTGGACGCATTTGAGCAGAAGTATGAGTATATTTGGCACATGTTTTGCACCCGTCAGATTTACGATGGTGATTTAGAACTGGCCTGCACCTACTCCAAGTTTAGTGATAAACGGTGAAGCGGTTGAATGTGTCGACCACTACGCTTACTTGGGAAGTCGCATCAACCCGAACAAAGTGGCTGCTGACGAAATCTCAGCTCGGGTACAGCAGGACCGTTTGGCAGTTACCAATCTGTCTCATCTATGGTGCCGGTGAGATATCTGACTATCAACCAAAGGACAGGTATTCTGCTCTGCAGTCCATGTTGTGCTGTTATACGGCTCCTAGACATAGCCGTTAAAGTTAGAAGATATAAAGCGATTACTGGCTTTTGATAACATGTCTTCGTAGGATTGCTTATGTTTGATGGGATCACCATGTGAACAGTGTTGAGGTCAGGTTAAGGGTACTAGGCAAGATAGGCATGTCGATTGATGGGATTATGAACCGTAGTTGATTGAGATGTGCAGCCACCGCCTACCTCGACCTGTAATGCTAGGGAAAGTTGGGTTAATTCACTTTGGAGGTTTCTAGGGATTCATTGATTTCTGGTTGGTATTCATCATGGACTGATATCAGTTGGAGCACTAGAGAGCTGTTTCGTCCTAGTGTGAGACTCTTCAGCAGTGCGCGCCCAAGACCTCGCCAGGGATCGAACCCAGGACCTTCAGGTTGCGCAGCCAGCACACTACCATTGAGCCACTGGGTCGGAATCCAATGATCCAAGTCGAACATGAGGATAGTTACTCAATGACGGCATAGAATGGAGGTCACACCACATCATGAACTGATCGAAGTAGGAAATATGGACCAGTGGCTTAACGGTAACGTGTTGACTACGGAACCCGAGGGTCCTGGGTTCGATCCCTGGGGTGTGGAGTTATGGGTGCGCAATACTGAGGAGCCCTATGCTAGGTAAAAACAGTTGTCTAGTGCCCACAGGTTTCCAATGTCTCTCCAACTGATGTCAGTCCATGATGAATACCAACCTGAAGTTGGATTATATTTTTCATAACCACTTAGTAATACTGTCTGATTAATTAATGCTTATCATATTATTCGAGTATAGATTATGCCAACAAAATATCTGGGAAAGGTATCTGTGATCACTGTTCATAGCTTTTGAAATGAATACATTTGTAATGTACATATATCTATGGTAACGTGGTAACCGTGTATGACAATTTATCATCTAGATAGATATCCGAGCAAATTTTTCTATCTCAAGGTTTGGTTCTTGTAGTTGAATGGATTATGTGTTGACGTAGATATATGATGAAGGATTCTGACTTTTCCAGCTGAACTGAATTGTGGAATATAAGTACCGATGATAAGCGAGTCTTATTCTTAACTTGCTTAGTATTAAAACGTGTCAACTGGAAGTCAGTATAGCTGTGCTTTTTAAAAATAGTTTTTTCTGTGTGATTTACTGATGTGAAACACCGAAGTGTTGTTTACTTTTGATACTTAACAAACTCAACTAGACATGTTCTAATAATATCCGATACAATGAATTAATGGGTATTACTGGAACTTGTCAGAGGTCTAAAAATACAAGTATTTTTCTCTGTGGGAAACTCTTCTGTGATAATTACAGTTGAATCATTCAATGTAGGATCCCATGGCTCTATCATCATCATCATCATCATCATCATCATCATCATCATCATCATCATCATTATCATTATCATCAGATACCTGAGTGAAACTTGACAACAGACCTATTGATAGATGTATCGACCAGATTATGTACCCTCTTGTGGGTGCTGAAACATAAGCACACTTACCAGCACCCAACACTAGTTGTATTTTTTGATCTAAAGGCAGCACTCGGCTCGATTGTCAGAGAGGTCTTATGGCAGTGTCTTTCACTAAATGGATGCCAAGTAAGTATATCACCCTGTTGAAGACTGTGTATTAGTGAAACACTCATGTTATGTCCGATTCTGCGGTGAGTTATGTACATCGAGGGGTTCCCGTCAAGGATATCCACATTCTCCAATCTTATTTGACGTACTTATGAAGTTCTTCCTGTCATCATATAATTCTACAGGAATTGATCTAACCACAAGAGATCTAGAATACGCAGATGACATAGTCCTGTTAGGTGGTGAAGCTGACCAGATAGACAGTCTTATTGGCACCTTGAGTGGCAATTTAAAGATGTTCGGAATGAGTTTTTCGTCACGAATTCAATTCGTTGCTTATTGCACTTGTTGGTGCCTTGTCTAACAATAGGGAGTAAACTGTTTGAGTGCGTTGATTGCTACACTTACTTAGGCGACGAAATCTCAGCACAGGTAAAAAACAGAGGATCGCTTGACTTTATCTAGCTTACATCATTCATGGGGCTGCCGGGATATGCTAAGGTCTCAAGTGTTCCGTCACTGTCACCTTCATCGAGTAGACTGTGTAGAGTTTTGAGCTGAAGCGGAAAGTCAGTTGATGAGTTTTTGAACCTTCATCGTTTGAGTAGGTGTCTGGGAGATATGTTGCGCTTACATAGTCTTCATTTGGATTGTAACTGATGTGGATTTAGGCTGAATTTTTTCTAAGTTATCAGTCCGTGAAGACTGACTGTTGATTTTAGCCACTTAAAGAGATGTAGACTTGTTGGTTGGAGTCCACATGGCCAGTAATATCGATTATTTTAGATTGTATGTGATACGCATCTAAAAATTATCTTCATATGTTAATCGTCATCCTGAGTTTCGTTATTGTTTCATTCCTTCTTGTTATCTGTTTACTACTTTCTATCACACTTGGTTACGCTTTTCTCTTTCTTTATTTTACATCTGTGTCTACTACATGGATGCACTGTTATGAGGTAGTCCCACTTGAATACCTAAGGTAGTGGGTTGTTACATACGAAAATACCGATAATATGAGTTATTTTGCGTCTGTTTTAAACACCTTACAATAAGGATGTGTTGCTATTTACATAATCTAACTCATGACACTTACGTTATACGAACTGAAAACTGATATATATGTTTTAGCATTCTTACAGATGTTGGTGTTTTACACACTCGGAGAAGTAGTTGTTCTCTTGTAGTAATGATACTTGTAGTTCCCCGACTTAGTGGATAACTCTCTGGCGTTTGAAACGAAGGGTACTGGGTTCGATCCCCAATGGGAACAACATTATTCACTGGATTGCAGGTACGTCCAGCTGACGAGTCCCAAATAGGAAGGAACGTGCGTACTGGATTCCTCTGCTAGTCACCAGGATCAATATAAAGAGTTATTCTCTGTTCATTGAATTCACACTTCATATCCAATAGGAATGTCTCAGCGCATAAACTGTTTAACTGTGTGCTGTATATCAAATAAACAAGTCTAGCATGGATTCCTCTGCTAGCTACAATCAAGTCAATTATAACATGAATATCCAGGTAGTGTATTGATGTGTCCGCATAGGAAGAAGCCCAAATGTCAGGAGAGGCCGGCCAACTCCATTCAGCATGATAACGGGGAATTACAAGTATACCAATAAACAATAATAAGTCATACCTGTTGTATGGTGCATGGTTATCGTGCCTCAATAGCCTAGTGTTTGAAGCGATGGGTACGGGATTCGAGTCCAGGTGAGAACACCATAGCTGACTAGGAGGTGAATGTACATCCAGCTGGCGAGTCCGAAGTGGGACGAAACCTACGTCCTGGATTCCTTTACTAACAACAACCAAGTCAACTGTAATATCTAATCACATTTTATCCCCACAGTACCTAAGTTTTAAACTTATGTTAGGGATTAGAGTTAGGTTGTGCGTGTTCTTTGTTGGTAGTAGTACCTTTCTAAGCTTGTCGAATTCGATCTACTTTCTCTCTTATACTTTATACAAATTCTTTTGACTCTTCCTCCTAGATGATGTTCGACACAGCCTATGGTAACTCTGGCATGAGTGGAATTTCCAATCTTGGAAGACCGTAAGTTCTCCTTCGTCTACTTTGTATTTCGTCTTTTTGGTGTATGATCTGTTTGCTAGTATGTTTCCACATGAAACTTTATGATACCCTTCAAGAAATTTTCCAAATTCCTTAGGTGACTTTCTCTAACCGTCTATGCTGAAATATTTTGGGAATAAAAATATTCCTACATATCTGTAACGTCTGCATCAAAGAAGTCAGAAGATTCTTATTTCAATAACGGTATATGTATGCTATGCAAAATCTAAAGAATGTATTTAAGAGGAAAACAATTCTGCTTATTCCTCGTATATTCAATCCGGAGGTTTGTGGAGATTTATTAATTGATTTTAGGTTTGAATTCACTATGGACTGACATAAGTTAGGGGGACATTGGAAACGTCAGAGACCTGAATAACTGTTTCGTCCTAGTATTGGACTCATCAGTAGTGCGCACCCACGACTCTGTCGGAGATCGAACCCAGGACGTGGGTGCTCACCGCTGAGGAATCCCATACTAGGACGAAACAGCTGTCCAGTACTCTCAGGTTACTCCCGTACATGTTCAAAAAGCCATGCATTCCTGAGCTGAGCTCATTTCTGGCTAAATTTCCAGTTATGGAAATTGTTTTTAGTATTTAGTAAAATCTCTTTCCATTTCGCTCATATTTCCTTCTGTCTCCCTCCTTCTACTGCTTACCATTGTTTGTTTGCATTAAATGTGTAGGTCCCACCTTTATTTTTTGCTTTTGTTCTTTTTGTTCATCTCTTCTTGCCTTTTGGTTGAAAGAGTGTGTGGTGTTGTGTCCAGGCTCTTTTTTTTTTGTACCTGCTAGCGTTGCTTTCGGTTTGTACGTCTTCCTTTTTCTTCCCCTCTTTTCTCTCCACCCTTTTGCAGTGGCATCTATTTGTGTACGTATATTAATCGACAATTCATCATCATCATCATCTTGTAATGTATCTTCTAGTAATCACCTCCACCACCATCTTTAAAACACACTTCTTAGAAAAAAGTCTTAATTATAATTATACAATGCCGATTTTTGTTTCGCTTCAAGTGTACGTTGGCCCACTCCACTATCTTCAGTTTCTTTTATTCCCTACTCCACTCCTCAGTCTACCATGGCTTAATACTCAACCAAGACACATGTGTTTTCCCTTACCTTTTTATATTCATACCATCCACCCTTTGAATCAGTCACCTAAGCTGTCATCGCCTCTAGTGTAATCTCACCACTATCACTGGTGTTTGTATGTGTATATGTCTTTCTCTCCTCTTTTATTTCTATGACCGTTTTGATTACATTGGACTTCCTTGTTAGTTTGTGCTTACGTGTGTGTGTGTGTGTGTACGCAGATTATTAGGCAACGGAAAAATATAGAAGAGACGTCCACCACTCCCAACTTAGTATTTATTCTGCCAACCCTATTTCTGGCCCAGAGTATTTGTCTAGTTTACGACATGACATCTAGCTGACGGTATGTATGCAGACCTTTATTACATCCCCCTGACTACCATCCTCCCACCCTTGTGTTTTTGCACACTCAAGCTTCATGCTTAAACAACCCAGCTCAGAGAACACAATACAACCAAGACACTCAAGTTACTTTGTCAACATGATATATACATATATAAATAATGATGGGGGATTTGTTTTGTATATATAATTGCTGTTTGTTTGCTTATGTATGTGTCGACTTGTACGTATGTCATTTGTGAAGGTGGGTGGCTTAATTTCTTTTGCTACAACCAAATGTGCACTTATTGTGTTTGTGTGTGTATTTATGTATATTAATAAACATATGGAGGATGCTTGTATGCGTTTCTGTGTAATTTGATAGAACATGTTGCCTATTTACCTATTCACATCTGTCTGTTAATTTACCTATTCCTACGCTTGATACTTTTATATTAATAATACTGCTACTACCTTTACTACTACTGGTCTTTGTATTGAACAGGAAACGTTTCGTTCATGTAAAGACTAGTATGACTAGTATTATGTGTTATTATTACCTAACAGGAATATTTCTTGAATACATTAACAGCAGAAGTGTTAAATAATACAAGACTGTCTAGAGTAACCTGCTAGGGGCTGTTTAGAAGCTTTCCTCAAAAACCTAAGGCTTATATATTTTGAGGCTAATAATGGATTTTAGTTTTCGGACTGACATCCTTTGGAGAACTGTTGAAAACCTGGAAGTATTGGACAGCTGTTTCGTCCTAGTATGGGACTCTTCAGCAGTGCGCATTCACGACCGATCTAGGGATCGAACTCAGAACCTTCTCGATATAGCGCTACTATCCATTGAGGTCTTCACTATCGATTGGTTGACCCACGGGTCACTGCCTCATTAGAATTTCGGAATATCCATCTAAAAGCATCCCACTAATGAACGCTGTACTCTAATGCATTTCTGAGGTGAATGGGGATTTTAACTGTAAGGTAGGATTTATCACTAACCTAAGATTTGTGTTAGAATAGTGTGTATGTAGAATAGAATGTTTTCTGATTCTGTCTTATTCTACAATTAATGATGTTATCATTTGAATGCTGATGATTTGGAGTTTGTCAGTCGAGTTGTATGTGTCTGTGTTTGAATTGAAAAGATAAGTGGAGTAAGAAAACTGTTCAGTTGATATAATCATTTCTTGCCTATCTGAGATGGCCGTGGATTGGCAGACTAGTATTGATACTGGTTGGAGGTGACTAGAGGTGAAATGGAAATTTGAACTGCGGCCATATTCGGACCAGTTACCACCGGGTTTCCGGTCCGGTGCTCTAGCAACTCAGCTATGAGGTCCCCTCTCTGAATCAGTTAGATTTGGATTTGAATGAGAAGTTCTGACTAGGCAGCCAGTGTGAATACGAACAAGCGGTAGTAACTCATCATGAATTCACACGGTGGTAGTTAGGCAAAAACCTTTGGTGATTGAAGTGGAATAAAAATCTGTCGGACCTCGTAGCTCTGAGTTGATAGAGCATAGGGTGGGCAACCCAGTGGTCGATGGTTTGAACCCGGTTGTGGTCCAAATTCTCAGTTCACTTTCAATCCTCATCCAGTGACAATTGATATAAGTCAATAGCATCAGTTGGAGCTATTTCTTGCTATTCGGTTTTATCATTGAAGCCTACAGTGAGTTATGCTAAACGTGCAGACGCAGACATAGGAATACTCTACTGATCAAGATATTCCAAAGATTATCACCTTATAGGTCTATTTCGTTTATACCCTATGAATTGCTCAAATAATTTCTTGATACAAGAGCAATTTCTGATTAACTAGTAGCAAATAGTTTTACTACCCTGGAAGACATTGTAAGAAAAATGGATATAAATGAAGAAAGCTCACCTTATTAATGGAGATAACTTGATCTCATGACATCATATCATAAATAAGTGTGAAATTTCTTGTCACTGTGCTGTACCTCAGAGAATGGAGCCTTTAGTGGTCAAAAAATACAGTTAGAGTTCAGTGATAGCGCTTTACTGTTCGCAGAGGTTAGCTATAATCTACACTTCTCTAACCTTGTTCTCTCTTCCTTAAGCTCATTTATATCTCTCTGAAGTAACTACGGTTGATTCCATCCATCAATCCATCCAACCTAGGACTAGGCATTACTGCGTAACGGTCCGAGTTGCCACACCTCATATCAGTAAATCAAGTAAAAAGGCAGTGACGTGCAAGATGAAGGTAAGAGAATGCAGTCAGAAGAAATATAAAGTACGAAAAGAGAGAAACGAAGAATGAGAAAATGGTGAGATTCGGTATAGCGTCGTTAAGATGAGGATAATGTGTGTATACATCTGCTCCACTGACATCGGTTCTGAGCCATGTCACGTAGAGTCAGTCTCCAAACACTGATTTCTCTTGTCGCGCGGACCCCAACCGGCTAGTCGACATCACCGTACATGGTTGAAAGCAAGAGTGAAGGACTTCATGAATTGTGAATGTCATGTTTTAGTGTGGCCATGTCGAGCCTTTTTGTAGCCTGAAGCTATATTGGCGAAGATTGTGTGACGACGAGGCAGATGGCGACTAGGCATACGTAATACATGTCGCATCGAGTCATGTTAGTCGATGAAGGTTGAAACCCGTGTCAACTGACTTGCCTCTTCTCCGTAGAACTTTACACCTGACTTCTGCATTACTCACATGATGGTGACACCATGGAATACGTTGGCCTATACTAGGAATGCAATGGTGGTGAAACAGATGAAGCCTTCTCATGTCTTCCACCTTCAATGGTCATGTTTCACAGCCATACAGTAGGACAGAGCGGACTACTGTGCAGTACACCCGACCCAAAATAGACAATCGAATATCATGGCGGCTCTACAGGTGACGTAAGTTGGCAAAAGTCAACCAAGCCCTTTGTATTCGTATAAAGATTTCATCGGCCATTGAGCCACCGTGGCAGGGCTGATCCCACTTTCCAGGTAAGTGAAGTGTTCAACACACTACACTCTCTATTGTTAGCCGGTTGATTGGATAATGGAGACTCGACTTCCACATCCCTCTTGACAAATACAATCTCTTAGTCAGCTTGTATGCTTTCTCTTTCTTTCACTTTTCATTGTTCTTTCTGAAAGTTTCCGTCCATTCAACATAACCGAAGACGTATAGATTTGATTTTTATTTATATGATTTACTGTTTGATTAGGGGTGCATAAATCCACGGTATTTTTCAGCAAATTAGTTACTGTCGTTAATGATTTGAAGAAACTATGACCCACAGTCGTTCAACCGTAATGAAGATAGAGGGCTTGCATTTTCTAATTTACGAAAATCTAAAATTCTTCAATTCTGAACAAGAATACCGTTCCATTAATCATTCATTGAAAGTGTTGTACACTCCGGAACAAGGGTCATGCTAGGTCCTAATGCTTGATAATTATTGATTTATTGACTCTGAAAGATAGGTCTACTTACCGGGTATCAGATAAGTGTATTTAACTCATAGTTTAAGAAATCTTTTGATAATACGTGATTTCATACCAAGTGTTATAACGTTAATAAAGTTTGTCTTGTCGAACTCATGTTGTTATACAAAACTTACATGATGCCATTTGACCATTATTTAAATAATATGGAGAGTTTTTGATAAAAGATGTAAATTAGTTGCCATATGAAAAGATGGCATTATTCTACTGTTGATCTGAAGTGTATGGGAAAATGTAGATTTTCGGTGATATCGCTGTGAATCGATTACAGTTCCTTCTTTGCTGTTCTGTTGTACCGCTGTGAGACATGACCGTTAGAAGTAGGAGATATGAATCAGTTACAGGGTTTGAATCATAGGTATCTTCTCAGCATTTCTCGCGTTTGATGGAATCACCGTGTGAGCAATGTGGGATACTAGGCAAGAGGTGGTGAACCTTAGTCGATTGGGATGGCTTGGACATGTAGTGCACTTGTGCGGCCACCTCGACTTGTTGAGAGAGGGTTAAGGGTGCGCAGACCAAGATGTGGTATCAGCTGACGAAGTCTCTGATTGTTGGTCTGAGTTATGTGGGGAGGCCTAGACTACCTGGCTGGGGTCTTCGAGACGATAGGAGTTGGTGGTTGAGGACTCTTGATGGCATGGCTAGAAGTCGGTCACAATAGTGCAAACTTATACATTCTTTGATGCCTTCTAAAGCATGAACATTCACATTATCTTCGGATTGTTCTGTAACACAAGTTTCTCCGCTTTGTTATCAGTCTTTTTTAATCCACTTATTCTTTATATTACTGTTGTGAAATATGGCAACTTGGGCCTAGCATCTGTATTCAAGGTTGTACGTTGATTGTGCCTGATAGAGATGCTATACAAGTTTTCATCTTTATCATTATGTCTCATTTTCTGTAATTTGTTTGCTATTCTTTTTCTTCTCTTTTCACGGTTTTTCACCTGTAATAATATAATCACTAAAAATTTCAAATGATGTGAGCTAGGATGCAATTGTGGATTGTGTGTACTGTTTATCATATGGACATCTTTCTACTTCTAAAACTAATTTCACCTTATTATTCATTCTTGAATAGTATCAGTCTTTTTTATGACTTAGCTACTTCGTGAAATCATACTTTGTGGATTATTATTATTGGTTTTATGTTGGAATGCGTCATCGACTGACACCAGTTGGAGAAACATTGGAAACCTGGGAGCACTGGACATCTGTTTCGTCCTAATATGAGACTCAGCAGTGCGAACCCATGACTCCGCCAGGGATCGAACCCAGGACCTTCAGGCCCTGTGGCCAACACGTTACCATTCAGCCACTGGGTTGGGACCCTATGGTTCATATTTTTCTTTTCTGTCAGTTAATGATATAGTGCGACCTTTATCCAATGTCGTCGTTGAGTAACTGTCCTCATGTTCGACTTAGTTGACTTCATTGGTCACGACTTCTCATTGGAACTATGCGGAATTACCTCTCGAAGCTAGTCACCAATAAACACTAGATTAATTCTGTCTAGAGGTTTTTGGAGATTTATTAATTGATTTTAGGTTGGAATTGATCATGGACTACTGACATCAGCTGGGGGAACGTTGGGGTTCGATATTAGGACGAAACAGTTGTCCAGTGCTCCAAGGTCTCCAATGTTTCTCTAACTGATCCCAGTTCATGATGAATTCCAATCTAAAATCATTTATTAAATCCATGCAAGCCTCCAGATATTATTATTATTATTACTACTCATAGAAGTTCATTCCATCACGTCATCTTATCGGTTTAATGTATTATTTTGTAACTTATGCTTCATTGTTCATTGGAATTCATAATTCCTATTCATTATAAATCTGTATTGTTGTATGGAAGTTGATGTATAGATTTCATCAGGCAGTCAGATCAGAGTGATCTAAACGCAGGGCAACCGTTTGTCTCATTTTAGAGTTGAGGTCATCAGTGGTGTACTCGAACAAATTCATCCCATAGATCTAAATTACTTCAGATCATCTAAATCTGACTAAATGATTTTTGTGATTCGGTATACCTAAAATAATATGATCAATTTACAAATTGAATAACTGAAGTCACTTCATTACTAATCTTTAAAGTACTCAGAAGAGATGAATTATAGGAAATTGACCTGGTGTTTTGACTAGGCTGTCTACTATCACCGATGATCTCCCTGATTTTGGTCAACTGGACTGGACTAGATCACGTAACAAACTATGAGGAGCGAGAAGATGGGTATACGCTGCTCGACCGATGAAAATACCCTAGGAGACTTGAATTTCACCAATGATGATTTGTGTCTAATGTCTTGTCTCACGAACTGGAAGATCCACAGGGGAAAACTAACAAGTTGACAGAAGAGATGAGACAGTGAAGACGGGACTTCAAGTGAATGTAGAGAAGAGAGAGGTGATGAAGATACCTAGCCAACAACAACAACAACAAACACTAATCACCATCAATGAGAGAAACTTAAAGGAGGTTGTCTCTTTCACCTACCTACCTACCTACCTACCTACCTACCTACCTACCTACCTACCTACCTACCTACCTACCTACCTACCTACCTACCTACCTACCTACCTACCTACCTACCTACCTACCTACCTACCTACCTACCTACCTACCTACCTACCTACCTACCTACCTACCTACCTACCTACCTACCTACCTACCTACCTACCTACCTACCTACCTACCTACCTACCTACCTACCTACCTACCTACCTACCTACCTACCTACCTACCTACCTACCTACCTACCTACCTACCTACCTACCTACCTACCTACCTACCTACCTACCTACCTACCTACCTACCTACCTACCTACCTACCTACCTACCTACCTACCTACCTACCTACCTACCTACCTACCTACCCACCCACCCACCTACCTACATAGGCAGCATCTTTTCAACTACAGGCAGCGGTGGTACAGACGAGGATGTCAAAGCCAGCCAGGATCGGAAAAGCAAGACAGGCCCTCCTGCATTAATCTGAAATCAGTGTAGAGATCTACTGCACTCTACTCAGCATAAAGCGTGAACAACATCGGGATTTTCAACACCAATTCAGTCAAGTCAGTGCTTCTATGTGATGATTCAGAAGCTTGATGCGTCACGAAAAGCATTTTGAATAAACTACAGATATTCATCAACAGCTGCCTACGCTGATCCCGGTACTGAAGATCAGATGAAATGGCGAGGAAGAATAAGCAACAAGGAACTCTGGCTGGCTGATAACGAACCAACCAAGAACCAATCGTCCAACAAATTTGCAGTAGGTGGAGATGGATTGGATTAGACACAGACTGAGAAGACGGTTTCGCGACATCACGCGTCAGGCCGTCGAGTGGAATCCAAAGGGGAGACGACGAGATGAGCGTCCTTGGCGAGGGTGACATGGAGGAGATCATGTGAGGAAGAAATGAGAGCTTCTGGGTAGTCGTGGAGCCAGGTTGAAAAGACTGGAGAGAACAGGGTGCAATGGAGACGTGCTACTGAAGGTCTATGTTCCACTAGGAACCCAAGGGAAAAGTAGTAAGATAATAATAATTGATTGAATATATTCAGGGTTTGTTTGAAAAAAATGTTTTGCAGGATGAAACGTCATAAAAGGGATGAGACACTTATTTTTACAATGGTCTACTTTTTTTGTCAGATAGATTTATTACTTGTATGCTTTACACTTGTTCAATACCTTTAAAACTTCATTTCGTATTTGACTGCCTACGGATAAGAAAAGAAATAAAGAAGAGAAAATCCATTCATAGAATTACTGTCATAGTTTATTTGGATCTATCACAGTATTCACTGTGTCGAGGATTTTTTTCTTTTCTCATTTTTAATTTTTATTTGTTGTGACGGAAAATGCATAAGTGTTTTGTTCGATTAAGGAATTTCGGAGAGACAGACAGACAGATACACACATACACACACACACACAGAGAAAATCAACATGGAGAAGATCATGTGAGGAAGAAATTAGAGCTTCTGGGCAGTCGTGGAGCGAGGTTCATAAGACTGCAGAGAGCAGAGTGAAATGGAGACGTGCTACTGAAGCCGTATGTTTCACTAAGAACCCAAGGGAAAATGATCATCATCATAATAATAGATATCTCAGATACAGGCGTTATGAAGATGTTGATACTGAACATATATCTGATAGATTAAAGTGAGGTTTCCTTAATTCTTCTACCTTTATTATATTCATTGAATATCACATGGATAGGTTCATGAAAAAGGATTATACTGACAATAATATTTAAAAACGGTGGGATTTTTGTCCCATTTCTCAAAAGTTTTGATCGTATAGATGTATTCATCTTGTATAACTACTGGGGAGAATACTTTTCATACATTTTATTGATATACTAGTTCATTGGCTAAGTTATTAAGTATACCATTCCTTCAAATAGTTAATAATATAACTTTGACGGAGATGTCGAGTAATTGATTTGCCTCACTTGTAAGAACTTGATCTTCAAAGCCAATAAATCCTAGATCCAAAGATAGATTAGAAGTAAACTTCATGGATTATAATTCAATCTTTAAAATTAAATATTTCTATGCTGTCTTATTGTTTCAATATTATTATTATTATTATTATTTTTATAGACCATATTCATTTCTTCGGCTAGACAATCAATCACCTACTCCAGTACCATTTACTCCAGATGCTTTCTTTGGTCCAGGTATCCCTCATCAAGCAAAATCAATTCAATGTTTAGACCATGGAGAAGTAGTTTGTGCTGTCACTATCAATAATGCTACAAATCAAATTTATACAGGTGGTAAAGGTACTGTTAAACTTTGGGATTTAAATTCAACTACATCTGGTTTATCACCTAATTGTGGTGGTGGATCTAATCAATCAAATATTACAAAACAATGTATAACAAGTCTTGAATGCTTACAACGCGATAAATATATTCGATCTATTAAATTAACTCAGGTAAATTATTGAGCTTTGTGCAAGTCATATTGTTGTTACTTGGTTAATTGTCATTATTTACTTAAATAGCAAAATAATCAGATCCTAGATTTCAATGTTCTGGTGTTGTATTTACTTACCATCATGATCACCTTCTTCTTTCAAGACAAATTGTTTCTTTAATGGTTCTAAAAGTAACAGAGGAATCTAGGACTGGTCACCTGGATGTATCTGTACCATAGTGAGTGATGTTGTTACCACTGAAGGTCAAACTCAGTACCCTTCGCTTTAAACATCAGAGCGTTATCCACTAAGCCACCTCTTGTGTGACAGTTATCAGTTGTAATGATATTTGTGATTTCCCGTTGCTGTACGGAGGTGAATTGCTTGACTTATGTTGCAACATGGTCTCCTATGCGGATGTCTCGATGCTCATGATGTTACATTGATCTTGGTGAATAACAGAGGAATTCAAGACGCACGTTTCTTCCTACTAAGGTGGCTATCGCGCTCTAGTAGCGTTTGAGGCAAAGGGTACTGGGTTCGAGCCTCAGTGGGAACAACATACATCACTCACTGGGGTGTAAGTACGTCCAGCTGACGAGTTCAAAGTAAGATGAGATGCGCGTCCTGGATTCCTCTGTTAGTCAATGAGATCAGTATAATATCATGCATATCTGGTAGTACCGAAGTATCTGCATAGATGACCTTCTGCCAACATAGGTTGAACAATGGCGACTTAAAGGCCACCTTAGCAACATTCGAAACAACCAAGTAGGTGTTTTCATTTCGGCTAGGAAAGCAGATTTCTATAAAATAGAGAAGTCTAATAAGTTATTTTAATTGTTGCTATGGTGGCCTTTAAAGTTACTCTCGAGTAATTCGGCTCAGGATAACAATGAGGAATTACAAGTATCATTACAGTAGTTATGAAACTGTTTATTTATTCTACAGTTTGTTAGATTCATTACAAGTCATGACAAGTTTTAAGAATCTAAGAAATGTTTGTTAGTTTCATATGGTTGGTTTGCTTTCCTAAAGTAAAAATATCAAGCTTTACGAAGCAATAAGCTATGAAATATTCTTTTTCTCGTCACAGGTAGGATAATGCACAATTTCTTCAGATTATACTCACAGGTATTCATCACCTCTTATGAACTAGCGATTAGGAATCAAAGTTAAGACTCACAATCACAGAGTTAGTTTCTAAAGGGTGAGCAGCAAACAGTCAACGAGACCGTCTCATTTTCATTTTCATCATTATAAGATGAAAATACTGGTGAAATCTTTGCTGCCTTATGGTTCCATAATTTACTTGGAATACAACAATCAGATTTAGGAAGTTAAGTCTTAGGTTATGGTATAGTGTTTGCTTGGAAACAGTAATCTAGTATGAGCTTCCACTTTGAGAAGCGCAGATACATGGTAAACGTCGTAGTACTGGCCAGTATCGTAAGATCTCCATGTGCAATACAATCCCCTTCGGTTCGCTGACGGTTATTGTCCTTTAATGATATGCAACTATTGTCAGGAAAATAAGGTGGATGGTTCAGAGATTCTGGATAAACGTTTCAAAGACAATGAAGTTCTGTAGTTTCATTCGAAATATTAACACATAAAACAGGTGAAGAATTGTTCACTTTCCCCTGAACTTTCATATTGGTCCACTTCTTTTACTTATTTCATTTTTTCCTAAGTTTCCTTTTTGCTACTCACAAGTAGGCTGAAATAATATCCGAAATATCACTAAGCTTTTGCTTACGTTGCAATACGTAATGCATGTTTTCCTGCATGGTTAGACTCGTTTTTAAATATCACCGCATGAAGAAATAGCGCTGTTAACTAGGAGGCGGTTATAGTTTCAGTTATTTGTTAATCAGTAATAATAATGAACTAACTGATAGAAATGCTACGTATCAGTACTGTCGAAGACTTTTGCTAAAATAATCATTGACTTTTGTTTTCATTTTATAATTATTTCACAAAGTAGTAACTACGTGAATGAAAGTATATTTAATCAAAACGGAATAAGATTGGTTGTAGGTAGAGATGATTACTCAGAAGAAAGGAAATGCTTACCTAGATATACCACACGGATAGCGAAAGAAGTGATGGTTAATAAAATTGTCAGTTTATGAAATCTGTGCTCTTTTACAAACTTACAGTAAGTTGTATGGACGTTGTTTAGGGTATGTTATAAAAAGTGTTGCTTTTCTGCATCAAGAACAGTAAAGGTGAGAGTATCACAGGGGAAACAAGCCTTGGAAACAGCAAAGTGAAATAAACCTCATACATTTCAAACATGCTTGCAGAAGCATTACTCCAATTTTTGATCTGATTTTTAACGAAAGTGGAAATCCAATTTACTAATACTGGGACTATTTTGACTCTGTTCCTTAATCTGAATGCAGAAATGTTTCTTTGAAGGTAATTTGAGAATCAGAATTCAACAATTTAAGTGTATGAATGATGATACCTAACAAAAAGTATTTTTCAATTTATTGACTATCCACTTTTCTAATAATTGACCATTAAGATGCATCTTGAACGTCCAATTTTTCTTCAAGTAATGAAGCATACAGACAAAAAGATGGAATAGCTGTGATTTCCCCATTGATCTTTTTACAGACTTCTCCATGTCAAAGCTAGAGAATACGCACACAACGGGTTTGAATATTATAAGCGATACGTAGATGATACCTTCATCATCTCCAATAGTACGGACAATCTAGAAGATATCCTATCTCTATTTAATAACTGCTACCCTTCAGTCAGGTTCACATTAGAGAAGGAACTTAATTCTAAGATATCCTTTTCGGATGTGCAGCTGGAAAGACGAGATAGTTGATTACTTGAAAGGTCTATCCACAGAAAACCCATATGGATGTCTCTACGCACCAAACGAATTCTGATTTGTTCTATGTGCCATAGGATGCACACTATCTGCAGTCTTGGTACTTTGGAAGATGAACTTAATTTTTTGAAATGTTTTGGTTGGAACTAAGTGTCCTGAAAGCAAATAATCATTCCGCTTCTACGACTCCTAAGAAGCCTCTTTTCATGAGCTTTCGGTTTAACGGAGACACATCAGCATATCTACTGAGAAACCGTCTGGCATGCGCATTCAGAAAGACTTTCTATTCTGTCAAATTCAGATTAACTTTTCCCATCCAACCAATGCTTCGGTTATGCGTAAAGGGTGAACTAGCTTCCTTAATATTGTGAAGCCTGAACTCTGCGTTCCATAGAAATTTGTGTATTCACTTGAGTTGCATTGGACATGATTTTTTAAACATTTTTACCTTCAAAAATCTTTGCATTCAGATCTCACACATTACATTCCTCCACTCCTATAATTCTGATTACTCTTTACATTCATCATGTTACATCACTTAACTTAGTTACCAAATATTAGTTCTGTCTTGACAAGTCCTCTTCTCATTACTCCATCAAACATTACGTAATCCCTTTTTTTCCGATCTCCTGATTTATAATCAAATCTAATCTTCGCTCAAAAAACAATTCATGAAACATTCTTTTCCTGTTGCTATGTGAATAAAATATTTATATCGATTGTACAGCTTGAGAATGATATCGCTGAAAAGAGTGGCTCTGTGCTATACGTCTTTTATTTTATAATTTATCATTGTTGTGCACGTTATAGCAACTTTTATCAATATTGAACATCTCATGGATTTAACTCATCTAATAATATAGAGGTAGTATTCATCACGGACTGACATCGGTTGTGGAACCATTGGAAACTTAGGAGTACTGAACAGCTATTTCGTCCTAGTATGGGACTTTTCAGCAGTACGCACCCATGATCCGACTAGGGACCGAACTCAGGACCTCAAGATTCCACGGCGAACGCGTTAACCATTCCACCACTGGGTGGGTTTCAGTGATCCTAGTTGGGTCGTGTATGCGTGCTACTGAGTCGTAATAGGACGAAACAGTTGTCCAGTGCTTCCAGGTTTTCAATGGCTTTACAACTAATATCAGTTCGTGATGAATACTACCTTAAAATTAAAATCCTCATTCATCTCGAAAATTATCTGATAATTCTTTTCTTCTGCTCTTTGTTTATACAGGATGGGAAGACATTGGTTGTAGGTGGAGAGTCTAGTACACTCAGCATATGGGATTTAGGTCAGGCTAGTCCTCATCCCAAAAGTGAACTAACATTTGCTGCTCCTGCATGTTATGCTTTGGCTGTATCTCCTGACAGTAAACTTTGTTTCAGGTATTCATTATATATTATTATTACTACCATCATTATTCATATCTCTACCCCAATTATTTTATAATAGTTTGTTATAATATAGGTGGGAATAATGGCTCTTCATATTTATTCAACCTATATTCTATTTAAATAGAGCAACAGCAACAGCTTTAGCAGAGTGGCACGGATCCATTTTGTTTCGTGGCTTCTCATCAGCTGCTTACGATCGAAATCAATCTAAGCATCAATTTACGTAATTGTTCGTTTGCTTGAGTCACTTCGTTTGAAAATTATCGGCTTGAAATAAAGGTAACATGGAAATGATGTGATTGAAAGCACACGAACTGAGTGAAATGGATATACAGAGCTAATAGTAAATTTTAAACATGATAGATGGTGACTAGCAGTGGAATCCAGAACCTATGTTTCGTCCTACCTGGGACTCGTCAGCCGGATGTATCTGTCTCTCAGTGAGTGATGTTGTTCCCACTGGGGTTCGAACCGGGGATAGGGCGTTACCCACTAGGTCAAGATAGTCTCTTGTGCGACTTGTAAAGTTCTTATGTTGTTGCTTGTATTATCGTGTCGTTGATCGGTCCTTAATGGCATATGGGTTTCTGTGTAGATGCCTCGATATTCCTTGTGTTTCGACTTTATATTAATGATGGATAGTGGCTTGCAGTAGGAGTCAGCAAGATGTGGCTATCGTGACTCGGTAGCCTAGTGGATAGCGCTTTGGCATTTGGGACTGTCCTTCCCGGGTAGGAGTTTTAGTGAGAACAACATTGCTAACTGAGATGCAGGTATATTCAGCTGACGAGTCTCAAATAGGCGAAGCGCAGGAGCCCATACACGACTAAAGACTGATCCACTCAGTTCAATCAATAACGGGATAATACAAGTAACAGTATAATAGTAGGTTTGCCAGTACTTAGGAGGATTAGACGAATATTCTTGAGCGGAAGTTGGATAGGAGGGGAAGACAAATCTATTCGATGTATTGAGAAAGGTTACAGGGAATATGCGGAGAAACGGTCATAAGATTTTGTTAACTAAAAGCTAATGTGAGTAGAATTCGGATTAGAGTGTGAAAAACAAAATAACAAAAAACCCGACTTGTATGAATCTACAATAGTATGTAAAAAAACATGGTGATTATCAACAAAAAGAAAGTCTTTACCTTAATACCCACAGACTGATCACTGTTTTTATTTGATGATATAAGTTCGGTTTTAATTGTTTAATGGCTGACGCTTCAGCCAAACGCAGCGAATTCGGATTTATCTGCTTGTTAATTATTTCGAACCATCCCTGGATACCAGCTTCATATCCGCTGTCAATATCATATTGAATACATTTGTCTTCACCTCTGGCGTATTCCGCTAATCCTTCTGTACATTGGTAAACTTATCATTAGTGTTGTTGCTTGTATTATCCTGTCGTTGCGTGGACCGGATTGATCGATCACTATTGGCATATGGGCTCCTATGCGGGCGCCTTGATATTGCCTGTGTTCAGTTGGATATTAATGATGGATAGTGGCTAGCAAGGAAATCCAGCCTGATGCATCTTTCCTCCCATTTGACACTGGTCTGCTAGATGTACTTGCCTCCTAGTAAGGGTTGTTGTTCTCACCAGGACTTGAATTCGTGACCGATTACTTCAAATGCCAGACCACCGAGTTGGGATAATACAAGCAACAACATTAAAACTATACCCATCACCCAAGAAAAGTAGCTATCGGAACTCGGTGATCTATTGGATAACGCTCTGGCATTTGAAGCGATTGGTTCCATCTTCCCATCTTAATGGGAATAACATCTCTAACTGGGAGGCAAGTACATTCAATTGACTAGTCCAAGTTAGAATGAAACGTGCATCCTGGATTCTGCATACTTATTCACTCAATTCGTATATTTTCAATTACATTATATCGATGTTATCTTTAATGCAAACTGATAATTTTTGAAAGCAAATGCTAATGTGTATTGATAATAAAATTGTTTTCAGTTGTTAGGAGATGATGAGAAGTAGGAAAATGAAATAGATTAATACTTTTCTGCTAAAGCTGTTGTTCTTGCTCTTATTTAGATTTGTGAGTAGAATATATTGTATATATTGTATGAAAATATATATCCTGTTGGTTGTCTGATTTATTTAAAGTGTATTATCGATAATTTTTATCATATGTACAATTTTATATAGTCAAAGTGTGACTTTTAAAAGTCATACATTTGTTCATTTTGTTTTTAAGATCAAGTATGCTAAATGTTTGAGACCTTGTTTGATCCATTCAAAGTTATTCATATAGTTGTTATGTTTCTTTGATCTTGTCAATTATTTGAGTAAGGATAATAACGAATTGTCCTATCAGATGTCTGATTGGTCGAATATTTCGATGTGGTCAGTTACAGTAGAATAAGAGTTCGATTCCATGAGGAGTGCAGGAATACTTCTTTGAATTATATTCATTCAGACCATAAGGTGATATTCATCACTAGCTAAAGTATTGAAAACTTGAGAACACTAGACATCTGTTTCGCCCTGGTATGGGACTCTTCAGCAGTACTTAAACAGATACAGAATAGATATTACAATACAGTTAAATGAACTGCCTTTTTTTTCTTCTGTGTTCTTCATTGTTTCAGTTGTTATTCAAACGGTAATATTGGCGTCTGGGATATACACAATCGTATTTTAATTCGTCAGTATCAAGGACATGCTGAAGGTGCATCTTGTGTTGATATTCGTCCAGATGGAACACGATTATGGAGTGGTGGTTTAGATAAAACCGTACGTTGTTGGGATTTACGTGAAAATTGTCAAATAAGTCAAGTTGACTTATCAGCTCAAATATTTTCACTTGGTTATTGTCCTACTGGAGATTGGTTAGCTGTTGGATTAGAAACGGATCAAGTGGAAGTATTTGGTCCTGGTCGTCCAGAACGTTACCAATTATCATTACATGAAAGTTGTGTCTTATCTCTTAAATTTGCCCACAGTGGTTTATGGTTTGCTTCTACAGGTAAAGATCATTGCTTGTATGCATGGAGAACTCCTTATGGAGCAAATCTGTTCCAGGTTAGTTCAGCTAATCGTTTTAAATTACTTTTCTTTGAATACCATAGAAATTGCGGATATGATTTTCGGTCAATGGAAAAAATCTATTCTGATTTTAATTGTTTTAGAGATGCAGTTTTAGATATGTTTTTGCACGGTACTTATGCTATCTGGTAAGCATAAGATCGTGGATCTGTGGGAGTTGACTTTCAACCAATCTGGTCGTGGGTTCGAACACCACTCCATCTATTGACGTATGAACAATCAGGTAGTATCATTAGTCCTCACACAATAGGTGTATCTGATTGCCTGTTGTACGAATAGGAACAAGGTTACTTGAGAGCATTTCAATTTCGTATGCTTGAAGACTAAGCTATTTAAAGTTGAGACTGAAATATACATATTTTTGAGATGAATGGGGATTTTATTTTGCAGGTAGCATTCATCACGGACGTGACATGAGTCAGAGAACTATTGAAAACGTGGTAGCACTAAATAGCTATTTCGTCCTAGTATGGGACTCTTCAGCGGTACGCACCCATGACTCAGCTAGGGATTGAACTCAAAATCTTCAGGTTTCACGGCGAACTCGTTAACCATTCAGCCAGTGGGTCACTTTCTTCAGGAAATCTGAAGCTCCTGAGTTCAACTCCTAGCCAGGTCGTGGGTGCATATATCTTAAGGGTCACACACTCCGACGAAACTAGTAGATTAGTTTTCGAACTACTGATCCCGACAGTATTTTTTAAAGTTTACAGTTATTAATTTTCATGTTTTTATCATCTTGAATGAATTGTAGTCTATTTTGAGGCGGTAATAGATCAAATGGAATATTCAATATTTTTGTATTGTTAAGGAAAGAGTATGTACTATGTGATATAAAAATTTTTTAGTTACGTGATGATGTAGTTTGAAGAATATACGTATCCTGTTAATTGTTACTGTTATTTGAATAGTATAAAAAGCATTTTAAAATAACCTTAGATGGTTGCATAACTTATCATCTCTTAACCAAAGGTATTCAGTCGTATTTCAGGCGAACACAAATCGACAAAATATGTTTTATAGAGTAGTGTAAATAAATTTCACATGAAGCAATTGGATGCTGCTTAAAGCTTCCCCACTGACCCCCCCCCCCAGTCGTTACTGGGTCTATCCAGGCAAAAGATGTGCAGCTTACTCCAATGCTGTACTCCGCAATTGAAAAAAAAATTAAGTTTTCACTATCCAGTCAACATTTTGTGCCTATATATAAGATAGTCAAAATCAACAGAGAACCTCGCACATATCGGTTCAAGTTACCATATTTCATAGTAGTTTGCAAAGAACAGGTGAATAGAAGAAGAGTAATCTGAAAGTAGATAAAGTAGTATGAAAGAATAGAGATTAGTGAGAATATTTATGCTTTTAGAAGGGCTATTGTGACCGATTTTTAGCCATGTCATGAAGACTCCTATTGTCTCCGGGACCCCAGCCGGGTAGTCTACATCTCCCTACCCGACTAAGACTAACAATCAGGGACTTCATAGACTAGTACCAGGTTTTTATTCTGGCCAGCCTAAATCCTATTCAAGCATAATCTGATTTTCCTTAGGTTAACATATCGAAGAGCCTATATATAAACTTTATTCACACATATCTATGGTATTCCTTTATTTTTCCATTCATTTTTATTTCATAATTTGTTTAGTTTGATAACTGGTGAATATATATATATATATATATATATATATATATATATATATATATATATATGCCTTGTATACTTACTATATTTTATGTTTAGGTCAAAGAAAACTCGTCTGTGTTGAGTTGCGATATATCACTAGATGACAAGCTCTTAGTCACTGGATCGGGTGATCGTAAAGCTACTGTCTATGAAATAATCTACTAATCTTATTTATACACTTACCTTTTCTTCTTTTTTGCTTTGTTTTTATTACTGGGTGTTATTTTGACTGCAGTAACATCACGATGGTACATAGCACAACACACACACACACACTCGCATACACAACACATGATATTCGGCAGACAAACATCCGAGTATTTTCTAGTCAAATAATGAATAGTAGTAAAAAAAAAGTTATATTAATTACTATTACTTTTTATATACTGTTATGTCATTTGTGTTGATGTTTTTTTTCGTGTTTTGGATGAGACAAAAATTTATGAATTTTCTCTTATCATCACTTTTAATCGTTCTTTTCTTCTTCTATAATTCGCCTTCCCTTCTTTCTTTTTTGTTTCTCTCCATACCTGCTCATTACTTCTACATACATATTGTGTTACCATTAGTAGGTTGTTCTGTAACTCCACTCCACCCGACTTCACTTCACACTCGACTTGTGTTCTCAAAATTTCAATTTTATGCTTTTCTGTCATATCTTCTTGCTTCATTTTATTTTACACTAGATTTGTCTTCGGAATTGGGACGTAGAAAAAAGCACTGTGTGTGTGTGTGTATGTATGTATCACTTAATGATATTCTAAACTTATTGTGTACTACTAAACAATTTTTTTCCTGTGTATAGGATCATATATATATGCATACATAATGACTTGTACTTACTTACTTGTGAATGTCATTCATTCTACCGTCCAGTCTTGACGATTCTCTTTTTCCATCCTTTGCTTTCACTTTATCGAAGACGTATCAGTTTCTGTTTCCTTTTTTATTCCCTTTGATTTTTATTGTCTTGAATGCATTTTCATTATCAATCTTCCTCTGTTTATATATATATATATATATATATATATATATATATATATATAAATCTGTATAGTTTACAATGTTGCTGATTACTAGTAGTAACCAAGTAATATATTCACCTAGGCTTTATTTTTTCCAAATCATTTCCGTATAGACAGTTACTGGATCTTTTATTGTCTTGTCTGTAGTGCACATTTGTTGGTCATTTGTCCTTACACAAGCAAAAATGAAGTGTGTAGTTAAATATTCTATATTGACCATGTGTGTGTGTGTGTTGACATTGATGGTTGTAAATATGATCATTCGTTATACAATGTGTGAACAAGTTTTATTGTTATGAGTTATTCTTTCTTATCAATGATTTCAGTGTATTTTAATCAGTGTGCTTTATAAATTACTTTCAAGATGGGTGTAAAATGTCAGTACTGTGGGTTTTCTAAGAATTTGAAGTGTCCTGATGAATCGGTGAAGAAGTGAAGGATTATGGCTAATTATGAAAAAAAGTATGTATGTATTACTGGCTAAAACTCTGGAATCTCTAACCATGGATATATATTGTGTCTGTGCGACACATATTCAAGACCCGATTTGTGGTTATTAGATTGACCTTATCCCCGGTCATAGTAGTAAATCTTTTAAATTCACCTTACGAGTATCTATAGACTCCTACTACCTAGTTACGGACGACAAGGATTCATATTCGTATTTGAAACTAATAAACTTAAATCTCAAACTCGCAAAAAACGCCGTATGCGACCGATCTCCGGCAGATATCCCATAGGCTGTGCGTAACAAATCAATTGCTCTTTTAGGTACCCTGAACTTCTGCAGTAAACGAAACCCAGTTAAATATGACCTTACCTCTATCTCTTCTTTTATCTCTACCTCCTAATATCAATTTTATGGCTCTTTCAACTTCCTCAGCCTCACTCTGCAACCATTGGCAACGATTCAAACCATCGAAAGATCATTCCTGGTCTCCTAACACCCCTCTAATAATTTCATGTAAGAGCTTTCAACGTCCAAACTCTCTGCCAGGTCGGTCAACAAGCATTACTCTCCAGAACTCTGGAATTCCAGCGATAGGTGTATACTGTATCTCTGAGATATATACAGGACCAAAGTATGGTTATTAAATTAACATCATGTGACCAGTGCGGTAAATCTTTAAAATGGACCTTACGAGTATCTAGAGACTCAGTGACGCTCTCGTGAACTTGCTGGTGTTTGCATAGCATTGAGCTACAGGGTAGAAAGTACGCTCCTCAACTGGATACCAGTCAACAGTCGTCTATGTGTGATTTGATTGAATGAATCCGTAAGGACTAGGAAATGTCATGAGAGTAGGTGATGTTTACTCGTAATCTCCGTCTGCGTACTCACTAACTGTAGTTCAGATGATGTAAAGGATGAATTATTTGAGTAGCTGTTAATTTTGCTACAGAAAGCAAAAACGTTGGGATGTAGTGATAATGGCAAGTGACTAAAACACTCAAGTAGGGGAGTTGAGATTATCGTAAAGGCATCTTGGGGGTATTTGCGGAATCACATACCAACTAACTGACAATGGTGATCGTCTATTACAATTTTGCAAGACTGGCAAGTCGATTCATGAAATTCTAAACCTTAGTCAACTGAAATAACTTGGACATGTACTGATCATGCCAAGCCATAGCTTACCTCGACGTACCACGCTAGGAGAAGTTGGAATGTATCGAAGGGCGATCCAGGGTGACCAGACGAAGACGGGACCAGTCGATGAACTCTCTAACTGTTGATCTAAGTCGTGTGGGGAGATATAGACTGTCTGGTTGGGGTCCCCGAGACAATAGTGGTTGAAGACTTTAGGTGATGAAGTGGTTGGAAATTGGTTGCAACTGCGCAGATATATTCACTCATTGACGTCTTCTAAAGCTTGAATATTTGAACTAACCGTTGTCTGATTGTTTATTCTTCGACACAACTTTGATTATTCCAATATCACTCCTTTTTGTCCACTTGTTCTTTTCTGCTACTATGAATCGTGGCAACTTTAGCCGACGCACTTTTGTGCGACGTTCTACGTTGATTTTGTCAGTTGTCAATCATCTTGTACAATACAACTTGCGTTTTTGTATTGGTTGTGTTCTATTCTCTCAGCTGGATGGCTTAATCGAGAACCTTTATTATCTTTCTAGACGACATCATCATTAAATTAGTGTGGATGGTGTTGTCTCAAAGGCCAATGAATGCTGCACGATTAAACCCCTCAGCTCAAAGAGCACAACATAACCAAGAGCATCCACTTGAGCTGCAATTATTCTCCAATATTTGAACATCGTATGATTGTAACACACTTTGCGTTTGAGGATGCGAGGGGTATGCTTCCAGAAGGGGACAAATATTCTTTTCCGTGCCTTGGTTAGCCGAAGAGTGTCAGATATAGACTAACGACTGAATTTTCCAATGGGATGGGAAATAGCTGAACAAAGTGAAAGACAAGTGGTACAGTTGGTGATCACAGGTGCACATTATCGGGCCCGAAAATACTAACCTGTGATTGGCAGTCAAAAGAAAAAACGTGTTTACACCAGGTGATGACAAAGACTAGATTTACTGATGAACGCGTTCATCTCAGCGCATTATATTTGCCCAGGAGAACTATTTCTAGTGTTCACAGTTCCTACGTCTGTAAGATCAAAAGAGTACCAAAGAAACGAAGATGATACCATTGACACTAAAGGTTTTCTGCTGCTCAGTTAAGTCATACCTAATGTATGACTATCTCTTAGGCAAAAGTAGGGTGGAGTGAGGTTCGCATCTGTGATCCTTTGCTTATTGGAAGCCGAATTGTGTAAGGTAGTGGGGAAACAACTACATTCTTGAGAAACTTAGTTTTTCAGCGTTATGTTTACTTTTTGGAACTTAGTTGTCTCTTGTTTACCATCAGGTATTTTTGTGGGATATTTTGACTGAAGGAATCCAATGTCTACTTGTTGTCGATTATTAGTGTTTCTTGAAATAAAGCGATTATATGTCTGACATATCTCAGTGTTTGTAAATATGCTTATTGTGATGATTTTGTATGCCTAACTAGTAGACTACCGAGTCATTCTATGTGGATATCAGATTCGTTTCATATATAGTACTCATCTGGATGCGTTATAATATTTTATCGACTATCTGCTTTATCTAGCCATAATTGATATTGCTTTCCTATTGGTTATTCTTTTCGATACTACTGTAAGTACAGGTCTTTATTGTTAATGTGCGACTGAGGCTAGTTGAAAGCTGTCTACGACTTCTTTGAATTGTTTGAGCATGTAAATTAAGATTACAATTATTATTGTATTGATTGGTCACGGGAGTGCAACCAATTTCATGTTGTCTAGTCCTGAGTGCATATCGAATTCTGTCGATCATATTTGCAATGTGGCAACCAAGCTAAGAAGCTCAGCATCGCGGTACACATTAGTAGATGTTAGTTGGTTGAAAGCAATCGGCAGGAAGCCATGAACCTAGTTTCCGTGCCCTTTGGCACCCGTCAGCAAGGCATATCTGCAACCTCGATGGAACTGATGTTCCGCCTGAGATTCGAACCCGCGTCACACAGTGTTGTATTCAGTCAGTCGCGCCCCGAACAGCTAAGTGGTAAAGTCGCTGACTACAACACTGTGACGCGGGTTCGAATCTCAGGCGGCACATCAGTTCCGTCGAGGTTGCAGATATACCTTGCTGACGAGTGCCAAAAGCATGAAACCTAGGTCCAGGGCCTCCTGCCGATTGCCTCCAACCAACTAACAATTATTATTCCCTTTTGTGTGGGTCTGAGAATCTAAGTTCTAGTTCCTACGATTTCAAGTTATAATACTCCATGGTTTTCTGCTACAATGATAGTATGCTTATTAAATACAATTGGCTATATCCAGACGCAGACGATACAACATACTGAAACCTTGCACATATGATAACTCATTTCTAGCCGGTGCCAATTTCCTGTTCAGGGGTCGCTGTTATGCTACTTACCATCTTCCCGATGTCAGGCAAGCCTGGGTTCAAATGAATATTGCGAATGTCTACTGTAGTATGGTTGGTTACATTAAAGTACTGCAATTCATTCTGGAATGGGTGTGTGGACTGTAATCATGCTTTAGTAATTAGCAGAATCATCGTCCTAAATAGGATTATGGGAGTAAGTTTTCTTTACACCCGGCGTTGAAGCTAAATACCAAACCGGACTACGTAACCATATGAAGTATAGATGAACATTGTCTACGTCTACAAGCGTTATTAAAAATGGTAGGTAAATCTGCTTTCTGCTTCAAAGGTTTTCCAACTGATGAACAAATGACCTCTGCGAGTTCTGCTCAAATTCTTGGCGCTCTTCGGTTCGCTTCAGTAAGTAGCCATCACAATAGTATGCGGCACATGGCTAACACGAGGATCTCGAGGCTTAACGATCAAAACGTGCGAGTATGGTGGGATCAGTAGCTGTATCTGACAATAACTCAGTATTCCTTCTACTTCAACGTCAGTACCTTATGCTCCGTGGTCAGTTAACACTAGTTCAGAAGGAATTTCAAGTTAACAAAAAGCCGTAAAACACCCGGGTCATAACAGTTGTCCTCTATCTTTCTTTGACGAACTATAGTCAATGAAAACAGCACACTGTTTATGAAGGTATGATAGACTGAGTGTTCTGTCACTCTGAAACGATGTTCTCATATGAAATTACCTAAGCAGTGGGTATGTGTGTGTGTGCATCAGTCAGTCCTCTAAAATGTCACCTATCAATCTTCATAAAACACAGCAAACTAACTTTTGAGAATGAATTCTAGTTTCACGGATGTATTGATCATTAATTCAGTGACTTTTAGAATCCTGAATATCACCACGTGTTACACTCTAGCAGTTATATTTGTTCATATTAGAGTTAACTTCAATGCATTGAAATGGGACCATGCTGTCGAATTATCTGTTACCGGTATCCCCTAGAACTTAATCAACATTCTGAGTTCTCGATATAAAATTGTCATACGTAAAATAATGGA